TCCATGGCAGATCCTCCTTGAGAAAGAGGGCATCTCACAGTCTCTTCTTCATGCCGCGTGGTGTCCACCTCACAAGAGACAATCCTCTACCTCCTCATGAATCCCTCCAGGCAACAGTTTGCTGCGGGCTTGCCCCTCACTGGTGCTTGGTATCTCTTCCCTCTCACACGGGGCTCTACACATACTGATGCACCCTAGACGTTCTCTCCACCATGGATTCTGTCAACTGCCAGGCAATCACCTTCTGCCATCTCAACCACCATGGGGCTTCAGGGAAAGGTTCTCCAGCTGCCTTCTCCCTCTCCTTCTCCTCTGGAACTCTTCTTCCCCTCTTTCTTCTCAGGACGACATTCCTTTGTTCTCCTCTCACCTCCTCCTCCTCCAACAGAAAAACTCACCAACATTAAAGACAGGACAGATCAAAAGAAGACAAAACCGAGACAGGACAGATCAAAAGAAGACAAAACCGAAAGAGAGAGGTAGAACACTGGGGCCACCTGTTAAATACCTGGATGGCAGAGGCGCTGATTGGCCTGGCCCTGGCCAGAGACAGGTCCGATTCCTACCTGGGAGTGGGAGAGGCTCTCGAATCTTCACACGAGTCTACTCCCACTTTTACAAGGAAAACCCACCAGACTCAAACCCATGACAAATGTCTATCCAGATTCTTAATGTTGAATTTTGTCAGTATTCTTCTTGTTATTTTTTTCAGTGCAATTTGTTTATTTTTCAGAAAAGACTATTCGTATTATTTTCAAAAACTATTTTACCTATACAAAAGTATTCCAATGCTATTAAAAAGTTTAAAAAATCAATTTCCAAGTAAATATTTTGAAGTATGTATTTCTGTAAAAATACAGAATGTTGATCATGTTAATAGTTTAGCTCTTTTGTGGGTAGCTATACTGAGTATGGTAGCATTACTTACATGTTTTATTTTAAGGCTATCTATTGATGCTTTTGCAAGATTAACACTAATTTGTCTTGTTTCTACCGTACATTTCAAAAATTGGTCCATATTCTTTCACCTGCAAAAGATGACTGAGCCTGCATATGCTTTGAACACTGATAAACAAATGTAAAAATAGTACTAAGGCATTCATTGATTTGCTGTGATGGAGGCCTGTGTAACCCCCTAGGCAATCTCTATGGTCACATGATATTCTAAAGGATGTACAGCTGTTTGTCTTCTTTATTAGTAGATTAGTAGTTAAAGAAATTGTCTCGACATTTAACAGTTTGGGTTTGGTTTTTTTTGTTTTGTTTATGCAATGCTCAGCTGTCTCATAGGTATCTGAACTCTTAACAAATTTTAAGTCTTCCTGTGACTTAGTAACTGGTCTATTTTAAAAAGCAGGTCATGTTCAGCAATATTTAAAGCATAGTAGCCGTTGTAGGCTGGTTATGTGTTGTGAGTTTAGAATACACTGTATTTGTTCTGACGAAGATGCTGATTTTTTGTATTGCATCTAGCAAACCAATAGCTAGAAGAGGTAGAAAAAAATCTGTGACCCTCTTCCTCTTCTATGAGAGTTTGAACTGTTTTTCCAGATGAACTACTGGCACTTCTTAGACACCCAGGAATCCTATTGTTGGACTCTGATAGTGGACCATGCCTATCTCAGATGGAGGGCTATGGCCATGCACGCATCTTTTGTCAGGTGGGGCAGGAGGGGTGGGCAGCACTGGGGCTGCATTTGGGCATCCTTCATTGTAACGTGGGCCTCATGAGCAAACATAGTGGTGTTGTTTTGCATCTAAGCTCTGAATTCTCTCAGGTAAATGCAAGTCTTACTTGCCTTTTAAGAGTAGAGCAGGATTGTGTAGGGTAGGGAGCAGAAGAGAAACCTGGTGGCTAATGAGCAGGAGTTGTCAGAGGGATCAGTTTATGGGCAGCGGTATTGACCTTTTGGGCTCTGTAGCATAAGTGGTGCAGAATATTGCATTCGTATTTTAAATAAACAGAGTACCATGTTTTTGAGGTTTGTTTTTTAAAGATTTTTTCTGGTCTTGCAGAGAGAAAGCAAAACAATTACACTCTTGAAGAAACAGTGACAGCATAGTAGGTTCTTTTCTTTGAATCCTGAACAATAATACCCAGTAATAAAAAAATAAAAGCTCAGAGAAAGTTTTTAACCCTCTATCACTGAAAATTTTAACTAAAAAAAAAAGTCAAAATTGTTTTTTTTTTTTTCTCTTGGGTTATTTTGGGCACTGACATTAATAGCAAGTTCCTTAAATTTTAAAGTAGGAGGACTATTTATTTTTCCTCTCTGAGCTATATGAAAAGGAGAGCTACCCGTAGGAGAAGCAGGAGCTGGATTACATAGCGTTTTAAAAATAATTTCTCTTGTGAGTCCAGATATGCTTGATGAATAACAGAAGAGCAGAAAAGATTTAAGCAGTGGACTTCAACTTCAGGAGAGTGGTGCTTTATCCTCTGTTCTGACATACTAGACTTTTAACAAGTGTTACTGGGAGCAGTCATCCCCCCTGGCTCATTGCCTGAAGTTCATCTCACTGACTCCACTTTGTTGTCCTGGGTGTGGATATGGGGAAGCTACCAAATGGGATTTCTCGCTTTGAAAACCATCCTCCTTATGCTAAGTCCTAGGAATATGAAGTGTTTCCCAGTCCCTGGGTGAGAATGTACTTTCTGGCTATCTCATGACTGTATTACTGAGGCATATGGTCAGGAACAGTTTTGATCTGAACCTTTAGGCCAGTGCATAACACCTGCAGAATTACAGCTACTGGCCTTCTGATTTCTTCCTACTGCCGTTCCCATGGGCTTGGCAGCCTGGGCTTAGGGCCAGTGTAGGTAACGGTATGGGTGTCCAGGCTCGAAGAGAGGTGTTTGAGAAAGCTCTCTCAGGAAACTTCAGCAGAGAGTCCCCCAGCAGATGACTCTGCTACTAAGCCCTGGTGTGGACTCACTCCACGCTCCACTCAGGAGCGATTTTAAAGATGAGGTTCTTTTCCCTTTTCCCTGCCTGTACTGTATTGTAGCAGCATTCACGCCTACCACCAGACCCATACGGGTCTGAACCTTGACCTGCAGACATGATTTTTTGGTTTGCTTCACCTCAGACCTGCTTTGTCACTATAAATCCAGTTGCATGGTGATCCCTGGGCTTTCTGACCCTGGTGGACTTGGCTTATGGTTGGTTAATGGTTGAACTCGATGGTCTTAAAGGTCTTTTCCAACTTAAATGATTCTATGATTACTGTGGAGCTGACCCTGACATACTGACTTGGGTTTCTGGCTGAGGGACCTCCCTCATCACTGTAGAGGCGATCAGGACTGTTGGGTGACAGTCTGCTCACCTTGCTTGAGTATGGTGGGACTGCCTGCCCATCCAATGATGAGCTGTTGCCTATGCCTGCCTCTTGTTGTGCTCAGCCCGCAGTCCCTTGCTGAGCATCCTGCTCTTTTTGCTGCCTGACATGTTCTTCATGGAGTACCCGTTTTCTGCTTGTCTGCTATTGGAATAACAACTTAATTTTTCAATTAGGAATGGCCAGTTTAACATTAATTCACATAGTACATTCATTAGCCATGCTGCTATAATGAACAGTGAATCCCAGTGTTAAATGTTCAAGTCTGCTTGATTAGAGCCTAGTTTTGGCTATACAGGGGGCTATACTCTGAAGTGAGTAAGGAACGGGTACACGACTTCTGCTTTGCTCCCTTGGGGTAGACTTTCCTCATGATTCCAAAGCAAGTCGATCTTTGGGCCTACTGCAGCCTAGACCTGATGTGAATGCAGATGATCTTGCAAACTAGAATTCCATTTCTAGACAGAGTTGTCAATGCATATGCAGCAAGGAGGGAGTTGACGTGTTTCTCACCTTGATTCAGGTCTTGTTCTTACACCCATGGGTGGTGTGTCAAGAGCCTAGAAATGTCTGTTGTCTGTATCTGTGCAGTCATTGGACTTCTGCTATACTCAGTAGACATGACAGTTACTGCCACTTGTGCCACTAATGCTTTCTGTGTGATAGCTTTTGATGATAGGCTGTTCTTAAGCCATTAAGCAGTCATTGGAAAGGTGACCTTCAGATTCTGCATACATAAGACAAACTAAAATAAACAGCTTTCACACAAGCATTGAATTTAATTAGTATTTTTTATTCCTCCAAACAGGTGTACGTAAATAGTCTTGAAACCACTTTAATTGATGTGGCTGATATTTTGGCAAGGATTGCTGCTGTAGAAGATGGTCTTTCTATTCTTCTTTATGGAGAAAATGAAAAAGCTGCCAAAGATGATAGGTAAGAGTGCATTAGTGAACGGCATTAGCGAGTACTACTTACATTAGTGTTATGAGACTCATTTTCTCTTTTTTTTATTCATCTACAACTGATATGTTTTGTTTATGTTTGGAGTAAAATATATGATTTTCAAGTAAAGTAGAAAGTGCTTCAGAGAATGTATTAGGGAGACATGTGTATAACTGGGTGAAATAACAGTTTAAAGACATACTTTTATTAAGGGAGATTTAAATGGTGGTCTTACTTTTCTTGTACTTGTGAGAGCTTTCCTTTCTTTGAATGAAGTTCCATTATATTCATAATGCTACTGTTTAGGCTGAAGGCCTGTCTTCTCTGTTCTTCGTTTGTTTGTTTTTTAAAATAAATATTAAAATCAACCTAATTTATTGAAATAATAGATTTAATGTAGCACTCACTTTTCAATGTATCTAGTAGAGCAGATCTTGTATCAGAAGCTGACATTCGCAACACTGTGCCTAACTTAGGATCTGTGTCTTCTTGTGGGTGATATATTGTTAGCAGGTGCTATAACTTTAAACAAGGCAGTAAAATTGAGTCTAGCCTTTAAAATTACTTGAGTTTCATGTCAGGAAAATGTTTGGAATATACATATTCTAAGTGAAGAGATACTAGAAGTTGCATATGGTTTTAAGGGGAGTTGGAAGTGAAAGGTAATGTTTTGGAGAAATAATTGTCCTTTGCATTGCAAAACTAGAAGGCTTTGGGAGGAGATCTTTTGGTGATATCCTTAACACTGATCAAGCAGAAGCTAAAACCATTTTCTTGTTACTCTTCCCAGCCAGACTCTTATAAAACACATAGTTTGTGTAGTTCACAGCCATGTGGGCTGGACAGAAGACAATGGGTGCGTTTTTGCTTCAGGTAGACCTGTAGCCAAAGTAAAACCACTTGCAGTATGTTTCTCCTGGCCCCTCTATATTTGGTTGTAGCTTCTTTCCATAGTTTCTTTTACCCTAGGAAAAATTAAATAAGTTCAGTCAGATGATTTGTTTCAAGGCTTATTGATGACTACAAAACAACATTTAAAAAGTTTTATTTTATTTCTAGCCCCACAGCTGTTCATGTAATTGTTCAGTTTACAAAGAAACTTCTTCAAGATGACATTTCTCTTCTATCTGGATCCGAACTTCAGCCAGTTGTTAAAGGAGCTTTCATTTCTGTATGTCGTCAGATGTACAAAACTTGTGAAGGCCTGCAGATGCTAATTCCTTATGATTTGCATGAATCTATAGCAGAGGCCTGGAAAAAGGTAAATCTTGTTTTGGATTCGGAAGACTGGGAAGAAACCTTACACTAAAGAGGTTCAGCATATATAATAGCTATTTTTTGCTTCAGTTTGCTTTACATAGTGACATAATGCTTGGAATTGTTCTAAAAATCAAGTTCTACTTTCTAAATTTTCCTTCTATGTATATGAACCTAAGAGAAGCTTAGTTTGAGACTTCAATGTCTTAAGATTAAGCCAGGAACTCTCAAGATGCATCAATAGAATTACCATTGATTGTCCCTGATGCTAGACGTCACTTGATGTGATGGTAGCCAGTGTACACCACAGGTCTTATTTTCACTCTTGGCTTGCGATATTTTGAAAGGAAAAACTCCCGAGATGTGTTCTTAGTAATTTTTAATTTAAACTAGTTTGTTTCTGTGGGAGATGTGGAGCAAAAAAGGAGATTCCAAGTATTTGACTGAGAGTTACGTGCCATTGAAATATTCTTGAGACCGCAGTGCAAAGTGTCAGGCAGGAGTTCTTGTCTTACCTGTGCACTTGGGATATCTTATGAAGTGTAGCCTCTCTACTTCAACTTCAGTTTGATTGCTAGTCTATAGCTTTTTCTACATGAAAAACCTTCCAACAGTTCTCTGTATTCTGCTTTCTGTTACAAATTTACTTAACAAGGTTGAAATTGAAGAATACTATGAAACATTTAAGTGACAAAGTGCCATTTCTTCACATCACTTTGAAGGTCATATTGAGACTGAAGTGGAATCTATGTATTCAGGGCATTGGGAATTCACAAGTTAGTAGAGGAAGGTCACATTTTCAACTCTTGCCATCTTGATTACTTTTACAATTATTTTCTTTCATTGTTCAATTTTAAACCATCTGCAGTTTATAAAATAGTCTACCACTTTTAGAGTAGCAGCGTGTCAAGTGTTGGGGCTGGGCTGGCCACGAGATGAATGGCAGAGGCTCACTATTAACACCTCTCCCTTCCCAAAGGGGAAAAGAAAGGAAATAAGGGAGAGAGACTTACAGATTGGAAAAGAAAACTCAACCAGCCTTACTGAAACAATAACAATAAAAATAAAATATAATACTAATAAGAAAATAAACTAAGGAAATATTTACAAAACCAATATCGAACCCAGCACCCTGATGGCAGTCGTGTCACCACTGATGCTGCGGGGCAGGTCGTGGGCAAGTAATGGACTGGACTCCACAGCAGATGGGAAGCGGATTCTGGAGCCAAATTCAGGATCTGGGTTCAGGCAGAAGGACAGACAGAGTCCTCCTCAGATGTTGGGTATTGAAGAAGAAAGCTTAGCCCTTGTTGTCCCGCAGCATTATGCTGAATATGACATGTACAGAATGGAATCTTTGGTCAGTTTTGGGTCACTTGCCCTATCTGCTCCTTCCTACAGGTGTGACTTTTACCTATGGCACCCCAGTATGGGGCAGAAGATTTAACAGTGACCTTGGTTTCTACAGGAGTGTGTATAAGCAAGAGCCTTTCTGCTTATCATTCCTTCCTAGTTACTATAAGGTCAAGCGTTATCACTTCCAGGAGCACTTTTGCAGACACTATCTGCAAAAAGATGCTGTTGACTTCAGCAAGTGCAGGCTCTTAGAAGAAACTGAGCTGAAAAGTAAAATCACTGAACAGAACTGGTTCTGTTCAGCTCAAACCAGGACAAGCAAAAATGGTGGACTTTGGTGAACTCTATCCAAGCAGCAGTGACAATTTTTTTGACAGATAGGTTGGTCATTTGTTTCCTCCTATTTCACACATCTCCTGGAGTTCTAGGACTGAAGGAGAAACAATTTTTTTTCTCAGCAGTTTCTGCTGAAATTATGGAGCACAATTTGTACAGATGATAATAAATGGGAAACTTAACAGATGCAGGACAGCTGACTGGTCTGAAGAGTCTTTTGTGGCTTTATTAGCTCACATTTATAAAAGAGTAAATTAATGACTGCTTACTTCCATTTGAATGGTGCTTTTTATCTCTAGAAACATAAAACAAATTAAACCATTCATCTTAAATATACGGTGTTTTTCACACCAATTATTTTCAAATATAATAAGAAACTCCATCAAATATAAAAATTTCTATGTATATTTATCTATGACTGTAACTCTAATTATGTCAATACCAATGTAAATAAATTTATATAATTTTTAAATAAATAAAATAAAGCTTAGCAGAGTTACTTAATAAATTAGTATTGAGTTATTGACTCCAGAAGCTCTTATTTCCATTACCTGTGACACAGAGGTGTAGAATTGCTTTCTGATCTTAATTTTTTAAAAATTTTTTTTTAATCTCAGTTTTTATTTTACGATTCTTCAGTTAAAAAGTAAAGAGGTTTTTATTTTAAGAAGTCTAGTAGAATTTTGCAAAACGTACTGGTTTTAAAATTTTTTATATCCTAGATAAAAATTAAATATAAGCATTTCTGGAACAAAAAATGTAGTGGAATATTTTATTCCTTGCCAAGGGCTAGACTACAACCTGATCACTGTTGCTTTTTTAAAAAATATATAACAAGAGAAAGATCTGGAGTTCAAAAATAGTGCAAATACATAGTAAGACGTTTTTATTTTATTTCACAGACGAGTTTGCTTTCAGAAAGAGCACCCACTCCTGTAACGGGTGCAGATTCGACCTCAGCAGTAAGTCTAGAGTCAAAAAACATGTAAGTTGATGCTTGATTTATTCACCTGCACAAGTATGAACACATGCTGCTACTTTATGAGGCATCTTACAACCCTGTGTCTTTCGCCCAAAAGTGTAGTGGTAGATGGAGGCTGAGATATCACCCTGGTATAGGTCTCAGTAGGGTTATAAAATTGTTCTTGACCTTTCAGGGCCTACTTGTCTTACAGAATTGTGTCTTATCTATGTAAAAATGACTTCTATTTGCTTGTTTCTGACTACTGTTTGAGGAAAATGTGAATTAGAAAGCATAAAACAAAACCACTGTCAGTTTGTCTTTTGACTTTGATGTCATCTTAATTTAAAAAGCTCTTCTGCTGAATGGTATATACACCTCGAAAATATGTGGTAAGATTGACAGCATTCTGCCTGAAGGCTTCGTAATTTATTAAGTGAAAGTCATCCTTCCTTTTATGCTAAAACTTAATGTCTCTTTAGAGAAGTTTGTTTGCGTTAAGATGAGAAATGTACAAATAATTGTGAGCCTGAAAGTTCAGGGTGGTGTTGGTGTTAGTGCATACCCTACCTAATTGAGTCGACTCTTGTTTGTGCTTTAAAATTTGCAAAGTTAGCTCAACAGTTGTTATTCTAGTCTGTGGTGGTGGCATGTGAACTGGTTACAGCAATTCAAATCTATTGGAAAAAGAAATCTATGGATGCAGAGCTCTGACTGAGGAGGCTGTTACTAATCGCTACCATTGACATGAGCTACGATTTCCTCCTGGCATCTAGATTTTTCATTTAACTGTGGAATAAAACATGCTGATATATCTCTGGGTGTAATTTTTGCTTCTGAATGTGACATGGCATGGATTCTGCAGAAGTGATTAAAGTTTGGGGTAGTGGTTGACTCCTACAAGAAAAACTGTGTGCTGCTTGCTGGGAATAAGAGTCAGAAATGAGAAAGGAGAACTAGAGATGAGAATCCAGTACACAAATCCTTTTAGAAAAGCAGAATCATAGGAGTCTTGAGATAACCTGCAGGGATGGTTCCCAGTCAGAGGTGTGGTAATTACTTCTTTTTAGGACGTAGAATGTTTTGTAAGTCAGAGGGTATCATCATACTTTATCTTGCAATTGCTGTTCTTCCTGCCATCTCTGCAGAAAATGTTTTCCACTTAACTGCTGTTAGTATGTAAAGCGCCTTATTTTCATAATTCTGTACTAATCTCTATCGGGAACCTTTATGTCCTCAAACATGAATTTTTATTAGTTCATACAGCGTTTTCACATTGGTGGGAAATTCTGTGCTTGCTTTACCAATTTGTAACTGCCGTGTTAATACCTTAAGACTTGCCTAGAGTCAGATAGTAAGTCGTAAATGTATTTAAGGATGACATCGGTCTTCTGGGTTACCCATTACATCATCTTTCTGTTCTGTGTTCTTGCCTAATCTTAGTTTTGTCAAGATGAGTTTGGATGCTTGTACAAAATACAGTCTAATACATATAACATCCCCAAATGATTTTTTTTTAAACTAATACAGAGAAAACATGTAAAGCAGTGAATGAAATGTTGCTAAAAGTTAGAAATTGTAGATTTTGTTTTTTCCTGTGCTTTTTCTGCATATCTTTTTGAATTAATATTTTGCTACTCTTGCAGTTTGCTATGGGAAGAGACTTTGTTAGACGCTTTGCTAAATTTTTCCATCACACCCAAAGGACTATTTCTGCTTAATAGCACAGGTGCCATAAATGACTGTGTGAACTTTATGTTCAGAAGTTTATCAAAAAAAATCCAGGTAAGTTTTTCTTTCTTTTAATGATTCTAACAAAGAAGAAAGACAGTAATAAAATAAATCCAGAAACCGTTTTGTCACTTAAGTTTTCCAAAAATTATTTTAAAATGTAGCTTATTGTCTTTGATATTACTGCCACACTAATTGAAGTTTGTTGGATGTTACTCATCCTCAGAATGTCAGGCACATGCTTAGTTTTTCTGACATTTTATTTTAATGCTTGAAATGCCAGGGAAAATTTTTTTCTTTTTGTCTCCGTAACGCAATTTTTTCTAGACTGTGTTGGTAGGTGGTGTTATCTAGATGTGCTGGACAATACTTGAAACGTAACTAAAATCAGATAATATGCATTTTAGGAGAAAAAACACAGTGTTACAGACATCTTACTTAATGTGTGTAAAAAAGCATTGTAATACTAACGCTTTTGATCTTTGCTGATGTTATATATTGCAACCATAGTATTTAGAATTTAAATTTTGTTAAGATAGGTGACAAAGCTGTTTAGTTTAGAATCTGACTCTGGTAAGTCTGTAGAGGGTAATATCCATAGACTATTGAAGTCTAACTGTAGAGTGTAGAAAATATCAATATTTAAGAGAACATTTAGAGTTTTATGCTCTCCGAATAACTAACGTGCTTTTACATTTGTTACTAACAGACAAATGAATATGAAGAGTTTGGTGACAGAGTGATTGTTGCACAAATGGCAACAACTCCAACAGGTGCAGTAGCTCTACAGAATTCAGGTAAATTGAAGGATGATACTATTATGAATAGTTGCATGCTGTAATCTTGCCTTTTAGAAAAACATAGTGAGAAGGATGTTAAAGAAGATCACCCGAGTGGAACAATTCCATGGTATTAGCAAAGACTGCTGAAATATCTCTTGAATTCTTGGTGGAAATTTCTTCTTTCTAACTTTAAAGTCTTTAGTTACCTTGATGATGCAGGTTTTTCATTGGCCTTGGTTTTTTTGTGATTTTTTTTTATTTTGTTTTTTTTTTCAGTTGTTGTTGTTGTTGTTGATTTTCTTAAATTATACAACATCTTCATTGGTTTGGATTTCCAGAAGTTTACTGTATGTCCATGAAGACATTTGTATCTGTTAAAAAATAAATTGCTAATAATTTGCAAATGCTTCTTGAACTACAGTTCAGAACTAATAACTGTTGATTTCTGTAATTTGTTTGTACTTTTCCATGATTATTAGTTGCTCAAAGAGTGAGAAACAGCAAAGGCCTGAATGTCATTGACTCTTATACAATTGTGAGATGGAACTGAGATTGTCTGAACAGACAGTTCTTCTCATATGTGAGCCCGTACCATAAAGTCCCTTGGAATCCATTCTCAGCCAACTCAATTGTTGCCATACTATTCAGTGGCCTAGGTAGTTGTTATATTAAAACTCGAATCTTGCCAATGAAGTAGAGCTACTATCTTAAATCGCTAAGGAAGTCTGTGAGGTACAAAATTTGCAAATGCTCTCTGAGCATCTAGAAGTGATTGGTGTGTAATTAAAATCACTTAACTAAAAGACTGTCAGAAAGGCAGGCAAATTCTGCCAGTCAAGGAAACGGAGATTTAGTTGCTTATTATTTGTGGCTCTGGGATCTTTCAGAAAGCAGGGGAGCACATCTACTTGAGGAGTAACCCATCTGTTCTGTTTAAGGTTCTCAGCCAAGTTGCTTCTAATGAGCCTTGGCACCAAAGACAAATGGTAGACCAAAATTAATCAGCATTGTTTTTCCACCCTGAGAGATGACTGTGTAATGTGCTTAAAGTTTGTATTAAGCTGCTAACTTCCCTTTGGTGGTTTCAGAGTTTAGATGACTATCCTTCCTCTTCTATTTTGATACATAACATTTTAAATCAGCTAGTAGTTCTTCTCTTGAATATTTTTCAGTCCTTTTCATTGTGGTATATTTTCATTTGTTAATGAGTTATAGTAAATCTCTGTTTATAAAACCATGGAGCCAATACTAGCTCAGCCTTGATCTGTAGCGGTTGATTTGTTAAAGAAGCTCAATTCCATGGAAGGTGTATAAGTATTGTCATACTCTAGTCTTTGCAAACTGTTGCTGTAGATTTTAGATTGACTATAAGAAAACTGCTGTAGAAAGGTAGTTTGGCTAATGGATTGAGAATAGTAGGGGGAGTAACCCTCAGGCAGTCTGTCTTGTTAAATTTTAATCCACAATGTAGAGAATTTTGAGAATCTGAGTTAGAATTATGATGTAAAATGCTTTTCTGGTATTCTTGCCATTCTCATTATTAAAACAAAAGTTTGTTTTAGGCTTTATAAAGGCACTTGTAACTGAATTGTGGGCTCTTTTGGAGTGTGGAAAAGATGATGTGAGGATAACCCAACCCAAATCCACTCCAGTTGACCCTATTGACCGAAGCTGTCAGAAGGTGAGACACTACTTCGTCTTGGTATGCAATATACAGTGCTGTATTTCAAATAGGATAGTATATGCCTTTCTGTAAATCTTTATTGCAACTATACCTGCTTCTTGGCACATACGGAAAACTAGTATAATACACTAGTCAAGTGATGACTGAAAGGATTCTTGTGTTGCATGGCAGGTCACAATATCAAGGATCCATTAAAATCAATATAAAACCATAAATAACAGTAATGACAAAAGTGAAAGTCTTAAAATACTGGCCATCAGTTCATTTCTCTGATTACTGTAGTAAGATCAGGAAGAGTGACATATTTCAGAGTATGCTGTGTCTCTAAATTTTAGAATTATCTGATAATGAAAATATAATTTTCAAAATTGCTTGTATAATTTGATAGAGATTACATATTTCACAGACTCTACTGCCCTTTCAGATTATACAGAGACCTGCTATTGTTTGCAGTCTTAATTTGGACAGCTCTAGTTATATCAAGTTCAGACTACAAAGAAGGATAAGAACAAACTTAAAGTAAATGGCAAATAATTGTTAACGTTTACTTGGTTATACTTAACTGATTGACATTCCTTTTTGTCTCCCTTTTTCTTCTTTCTCTAGTCTTTTCTGTCTCTGATAAACTTGCTCACTTACCCTGCAGTTTTTGAGCTCTTGAGTAAGCAAGATTTACCAAATAAACCAGTGTATTCACTCCGTGAAGTACCTACAAATATTGTTGTAAGTACTGTTTTATTTTGAAAGAAAAATAAATCCTTCTATGAAGACATTTTTCCTGAGAAAATGTTACTGTAGTAACAGAATAAGTTTTTTCATCTTACTGAAAGTTTTTGACATTTTCTGCATTTTGTGTGATATACAGCATGAGGGCAGTATATGCACATATCACTTCATGCTAACTCAAATTTTCATTTTGAAATCGTAAAGATAACAAAAAATTTGATGTATAATTTAAAGATAAACTTTCCTGGCTTGTGTTAGAATTATGTTTTTCCACAGAAAAAGAAGTGACATATGTGAACACCTCTGTATGTACATACATTGCACACTAGAAAATGCTGGAAAATATTTATACTATTTTACATAATTTTCCTTTATCATGGTATCTGTGCATTTAAACAAAAATGAAAAAAAAAACCAACAGAAAAGTCAGACTTTCTTAATAGCACAGATGATTCTCACAAAGAATCACTGATTGGAGTGTTACTGAATAAGATTTATTTCAGTCTTAAAATTGAGTATCATCATTTCTTTATTTAATATTATTTTGTATTAGCTCATCCAACTGCATTCCATTAGATTGAGGTGCTTTTTGTGTGTTTTGGTTTTTTCTCATCTACAAACCGCAGGCAAATTTAATCTGTGACCTTGAGTGGCAGTTAAAATCTGATTTCTTCTAATGAGCTAGCACTTTGAATTGCTGTTGTGTTTGTTTAGCACAAGCTGTGGATCAGTCATCATTTAGACAGAGTGCATACCAACCATAGGGTATGTTAGGTTTGGACGGGATTTTTGCAATTCTTTTTTTTTTTTTTGTAATACTCTTTCAATGATTTCTGGAGGAAATTACATTTTTCCAGTCCCCTCAGTGCCTGTGTGCCCACTGATGGATAGTTCTATTCAGTTACCAAATTTTCTGAGGCACTGGTAGCAGGGAGATAGATCTGTACATCTTTGAGAGCTTTCAGGTTGGGGTAGATACTAAGTAAATATTTTTTGTGACTTTTGAAATCTCATGCTGTTTTGTCTTTTGAGGCAGTTCAACCTTTTGATGGAATTTTGTAGGTTGCCAGAAATTGCAATATTGATACAATTGTTCAAAGTTATCTGAACAGTTACAGATGTTGTGGGTGGAGTTTGTCTCAGTTAACTACTGTGCAACAGTGGGTTTCGTAAGCCTAAGCTAGACATCCAAGATCATGTAGTGAACAGAAGGGAAATAGTTTATCTAACGTTAATTTTATCATATAATGGCTAACTCTCAGTGCTCAGAAGACTTCTGGGGTTAAGCAGACGTGTAGATTTGTTCTAACCACGTTTTTGGGAAGTGATTGCAGAAAGCTAAAGATAAAAGATTGGACCAGATGCAACTATGATTAGAAAGCAGAGTAAAAGCAGTTTTGGTGCCACTAGAAGATACATATTTTTAATCATGTCACATAGCCATGGAAACTGACTTGCAATATTAGACTGAACTGTATCTGATCATGAACAGAAGTTAATCATCTTTGTATGTTCTTTATTTCTTAAATACACAGGATTCAAATATTTTTTCCTCCTTCATGTTTTTAGCTAACTAGTTGCATCATTGGTGGAACAGATTATCAGTTGGGCTTTTACTGCTTTTAACTGTTGACTAGTCACATTTTGATTTTGTGCTCTTAGGAAATTTCTTTGCTAAATTTTTTTTTCTCTATTTGCCATGTAAAAATAATTTAGAAAATGGAGCAGATGTATCAATGTCTTTCTGCCTGCCTCCACTCTTCCTTTGAGAGGTTCTACAGTACACATATGCAAGGGAATATTGCTTGGAAGGTACCCTCAAGATCTGTAGCTTTGAAAGAAATGTTAAAGCAAGTGAAATTATTATTTTTCTTTATTTACTTTTTTCCCAGTGTGGACAAATTGCATTCTTCATAGCTGTCTCCCTTAATGCTCAAAAAAATCTAATGGGGAAAATATGATTTCACTGTATTTTAAATAAGAATGCATTTTAGGTAGACAATTTACTTTGAGAAGTTCTAGATTTTCTTTTTACTATTGGAAATTTTACATGTTATGTTTACTTTTCTCTGTGTTGAAAACCAGGGCTTTGGTTCATTTCCTGAAAGTATGGCTCCTAACTTTTCTCTCATCGTGTTGAAAAGATTCGTTGATCTAACCAGTTGAAATAAAAGTTTGGATTTAATCTGGATTTAAAAAAAGCCTATAAGGACTTTGTAGTTTGTTTCTTTAGACCATAACACAGCAGTTTGTCTGTGAGAAAATAATATCACTGAACATTTTAATGCATCTCTTAGTCTTTCAATGAAATAATTTCTTCACAAGCAGTTTGGCTATGCAGTGAACCAGAGGGGAACATAATTACGTTGGATTTGTGGAAGGAGTGGGCAGCAGCCACAGGTCATTGCCTGTCACATTGGATGCCGTAGGATGAAAACTGTAAGACTCAGCATGCAAGTCAAGCCTTGCTACACTGAGAATAAATGGTTGTGTTTTGAAGCATATAGTACTAACCAGTGTCAGAAAGGGTATTATACTAAAGGATTTGCTGTTATTTTCATTAAAATAGATGTATACACATTTCAAATCTAAAAAAATGTAACTTTTTTGGTGTTGTGTTTTAATACTAAAAAGGAACTAGGATACTTGATATGCTAGGATTTTTTTCATGTTAATTTTTTAAGTGAGAGTTCCCCCCTCAACCTTCTATGTCATTTCTTTTTGCCATTGACTTGTATGGTGGAAAGCACCTCTTCTTACAGAGATAATATTAATGTGTATTTTAATAATAGGTTTCATTTTGTAGTAAACCCTGTGAAAACTATTATGTGCATAAAATATAAAATCCTACGTGGATTTTTTATGTTTGTCTTCCTTTGGCAGGATGTCATTGACAGGCTTATAATTTTGAATTCAGAAGCTAAAATTCATTCCTTATTCAGTTACGAACAATCACATATCTTTGGTCTGAGGTAAGATACTTGGTTTTTATTCTCTGGTCACATTAACTAAATAGGATATAATATGCTTGGATGTGTTGCTTCTGATAAGATAACATTGTTTGTTTTTTATTATGCGTGAAGGTGAAATTCCCTCTTTTTTAACATAAGAAGATTAAATGAAAAATGGCCTACAAAATGAGAATAGCAGTGAATCTAATCTAATTACCTGTAAATGGATATACTGTAGTATGATAAGCAGTGTTGGAAACTGCATGCTGTTACTTTGCCTAGTTGATTCAAAAGAATACCTGCTATAGCACATAAAACAAAAATCATGCCAGAAAACTAAAATAATCAAAGTGGCTTTTACCATGTTTATATCAGTTTGGTTTATCTGTTTACAAGGGCATGTAGTGACAGGATGAGGGGAAATGGTTTTAACCTAGAGCAGAGTAGATTTAGATTAGATGCCAGGAAGAAGTTCTTTGCTGTGAGGCTGGTGAAACACTGGAACAGGTTGCCCAGAGAGATGGTGGAGACCCCATCCCTGGAGACATTCAGGGTCAAGCTTGAAGGAGCCCTGAGAAACCTGATCTATTTAGATGTCCCTGCTCACTGCAGGGGAGTTGGACTAGATTGCCTCTTTAAAGGCCCCTTCGAGCCCAAGACATTCTATGATACTATCTAGTCTCCCCATACTTAAAATTATTTTTTAAAGTACTGGTTTAATTATCACCAATTTCACCAAAACTTATTTGGGGAAGGAGGATACAATCAAAAATTTCTACAACGTGAAGGACCACTTAAAATATGATCATACTGTAATGCTCATGTTTTTTAATATTAGAGTTCTTTATAAAATTTTAACATAAGCATTAGTTTCTGCGTTTTTTCCTGTTTTCCAAAGTTGAAAATATAAATCCTTGAATTAACTTTTTTGTCATTAATATATTTTGTGCAACTGAAATTAAAGATCCACTGGATTGTACTTCATAGTGTGGAAAACTTTGATAACCTTGCTTGGGCAAGATGTAGCCCCATTGATTAAATACTGCAACGTTAGCTTTCTGCAACTGTATTTGTACTTTGATATCACAGGAAAATTACTTCATGCTATGTATGCATAACCATAAAATACAGTATAATTTGCAGATAAGGATGAGCATGGAAGAGATGAACAGTGGCAGAATTTAGAGTTGGGTGATATATGATTTTGTTGTATAAGTTAGAAGTTATAAATGCTACTTTGGAAGAAATTACTAGTGGATAGGAATGAGAAGTCCTAAGATGAAATTTGAAAAAATAAAGTAATATTCTTCATTTTGGCTTATACTTACTTCATAAAAAGCTTGACAGATCTCCTATTGATTTAATTAGGTATAAGGGAAAGTGAGATGTTTTACAGTTTAAAATAATAGTTTTCTTTTCTATTGTGTTCTACCTTTATAAGGTTTAGGAACGGATTTCTCCTACAATGATATCAGGAGCCCATGTAAGGTATAGGCAAAAAAGAATGATTCAATCTGATTGTGTCAAGGGTTGGCTCCTGTGCTGTAAGACAGAGACTGGTACACAAGTATGTGGATCACATGTTGAAGTTGTGTGGAATGCTTACAATATTTTTAACAAGGCCTATACTGTGTGAGCAATGCAACAAGCTCATCTGTAATCATGTAGAAGAAGCTGTGCTTTCACATAGTTAAGATGAGCTTTAGAGTTTACTGTGGTAATGAAACTTTCTGATGGATACAGACAAAGTAAAAAAAAAAAAAGAAAATCCAAACTGCCAAATTTCAAGGAAAGATAAAATAGTATTTTCAGCATAGAAACCTACTCATAAATGTGGTAGATATCATAATAATTTAGTAACTTTATAAAGGAAAGATTGTAAAAACATTCAAATATCGTTTTCAGTAGAGGCTTCGTGTTCTTCAGGGACATCTGGAATCTCAGTGATACCTAGTACCTCATATTTAACTTTGTTGTTATCAGATGTTATTTCCACAGTCTTTTTAATCCAAAATGTGCAAGTGTACCTATATATGTTTTTAATGTTAATATTGTATTTTCTGGTGGATGCTTGCTTTCATTTTGAGTAAGTATGAATTCTGAATAATTATTTGGAAGGACAGCCCTGCAGAGGCTCTGCTGTCAACTTTCCTTTTCAAGCTTACCTGCTCTGAAAAGTGGTGCGTGTGAAGTAGAAATCAAAGAGAAAACATAGAGAAGCTGGATACAGTTTTGCATAGCCAGTAGCTCTCAGTCTATAAAGAATGCTCCCTAGAGCACATTCATACAGACTACAATTGAGGTAAAATACTCAGTTCCACAGCAATCTATAGCCTAGTGTGAATCTATTATTTGTTCTTTTTTTTAAGATTCTTGACTTGGAAATATATTGACCTAGGATTCTTCTTCAGTTGCTTCACAGACACTGACCTGGTATTCCTTTAAATGCAGCTATTGCAAGCTTCTAGGACAGAATTTATTTACTTGAGTGGCCTTTAAAACTCATTTAAAAAAAACCCAAAACTACTACTATTAATAATTATTGAAGGGAGACTTCAGAAAAGAAGTTGGAGATAAGAATATAAAAGTCAAAATATATATACAGTTCTAATTTGTGTTTGGAAAGATTTTCAAACTGTCAGTTCAACTTTCAACTTTAAAGCAGATTTGTACTTATTTAGAATCAAGAAGTCTCTCAGTCAGCCAATGTTGTTGATAAAAGAACACTAAAGGCTGTCTCAGCTGCTCTTTTTTGCAGCCTGAAAATCTGGATGCGCAGGAACTAATGCAGACATTCTCAAATCTTTCTGTTTTAGAAGATTCTGAACTTATATTGCCATGAGAGCACAAATCCTAGAGAAGGGAAATTCACAGCAGTAATTGAAGTAATATGTTATTAACATACTAAACATAGAGAATTTTCTTAATGAATGGGTTTATTTCTCTGATCTTGTAAGTTATTGAATGTGAGAAATAACGTTTTTCATAAAGATGTGATACTAGAAATCTTAACCACCTCCCTTTCAAGGCTAACCTCTTTGAATCTCTGTATTAAAAAAGGAATTAAGTAAAAAGTAGTAACATACTTTTTTGTTCAGACTGATGAATTATATGGTATCAGGACAACTTATCTATTATTTCAGTACAGTGAATAGAGCCATGAGTTGTGAATTTTTACACCCTGCCAAGAAAATATATGCAAACATATATTTTCAAAACCTGTGCCTAAAGCATTATTCAGACATTTACATATTGCTGTGCTCTCTATTCAGAAACTGAGTTTTCTGTGCTTAGTGATGCTATGTTGTAAAATGGATTAAAGTGTGGCAAAGTACCACATTTTAACCTCTGATAACCACACTCTCATCCCTAAAAGGTATCAGTTGGCTTGCACATAAAAAATAGAGGGAGAAACAGTGTTACTGGGAATAGGCATGAACTGTGGGGACTGGGAGGGGATCAGATTTGGCCTACAGGCAGCTTTGCAGAAATTCCCTTCATTTAACAGAGTGCATTTATAACATACGCTGTTCCTGGAAAAATGGGGGGTTTTTTCCCTTTTTTTTTTTAAAGTGGATATATGATAAGGCAGTAATAGGCATCTGAATACTGGAAAGAGGGAAAAAACAACAACCTGCCTTTCTTCCTTTCACTATCTTATATCCATATGCTACTATCAATGAAAAAGGAGTATTTATTATAGTGTTCTCTTTGAATGTTCTAAATGCATTTATGTTTCTGTGGAATTATAGAAAATTGTAAATGCAAGTCTAAGTCACATATTCATCAATATCAGCCTCAGGATTGTAGAGCTACAGAGCCTGCTACAGATAGGAAAAGAATATAATAGAATCATAGAATGATTTGGGTTATAAGGGACATTAAAGATCATCTAGTTCCAACCCCCCTGCTGTGGCAGGGATGTGTCCCACTAGATCAGGTTGCTCGAGGCTCCATCCAGCCTGGCCTTAAACACTTCCAGGGATGGAGCATCCACAGGGAACCTGTTCCAGTGCCTCACCACCCTCAGGGTAAAGAATTTCTTCCTTATATCTAGTCTAAACCTACGCTCCTCCACCCATTACCCCTCATCCTATCACTACAGGCCCTTGTAAAAAGTCCCTCCCCAGCCTTCCTGTAGGTTCCCTTCAGCTATTGGAAGGTCGCTATAAGGTCCTCCTGAAGTCTTCTCTTTTCAGGACTGAACAATCCCAGTTCCCTCAGCCTGTCCTTATAGCAGAGGTGCTCCAGCCCTATGACCATCTTGGTAACACTCCTCTGGACTCACTGCAACAGCTCCATGTCTTTCTTGTGTTGGGTACTCCAGAGCTGGACGCAGTACTCCAGGTGGGGTCTCACAAGGCAGAGTACAGGGGCAGAATCACCTTCTTGACCTGCTGGTCACACATCTCTTGATGCATCCTGGGATGGGGTTGGCTTTCTGGGCCACAAGCACAGTGTTGGCTCATGTTGATCTTGTCATCCACCAACATGCCCAAATCCTTCTCCCCAGGACTGCTCTCAATCCACTATTGGCTTGTTACTTTCACATTTGTATAATAAATATTTTGACATTGCTAAGTCACATTTTTTGTCATGTAAAATATAATGGTAAGTATTTTTTTTCTTATTTTCTTACTTGCTGAATGGGTGGAGAAGATGGTAAAAATAGATTCTACCTATTTCTGCTGGTCTACAAAACTAGTAAGAGAAAGACTTAGGAAAGAGAATTTAAATGGCTTATACTATATTGACATCAGTCAGTCATCATCTTGGTATTTGCCTCAAAGCAGTATGTATTAGTCAAAATTTGTTCTAGTGCATTCCAGTGAAATCCAAGTGAATGAATTAAATCCTACAGGAGCTGGGAGATGAATAGGCAAGAGACAGCTTTGTGGGCTTAGGAAGAACAGATAAAAAACCACCTATCCATTATTTTCCACTGTATTTTCATCTGCATTGTAAACACAACCTCTTACATATAATTGCATTTTAACAATGAGGTAACTTTGGTATATGAAATAATTTGTTCTCTTAATTGTGTACTTTATGTATATTGTTAATTAAGAGAATGTGTGATTTTAGTGATTGCAACACAATGGAAAGAATATCAGTTACTTTGTTTTCTAAAGGTAGAAGATACGGATACTGATCATCCTTTTTTTCTCAGGTCAACATGCTATTTAGTTTTATCCCTTCCTTCTCTTTATTAAAAAAAGCTTTATAGGTAGTGGAAGCCTTTTGAAAACATTTGCATATAATTTTTTAAAATCTCATTCGCTTTAAATTGAAGAAAGACTTTTATGTAAAACTGGTTTTAAATAAATTCAGTTTCCCCTTTAGAAGACATGGCATTGTTTTACTGCTTTCATGTTTTCTTTTCCATCTTCCTTCCAGAGCCAGAAACAAAGCTGTACCTCTTGGTTTCCACATATCTTTGTTCTGATTATACTGTCATAGCCTGTGAGCACTGTTGTGTAATGTTACTGATGGATCTTTCAGATCACTAATAAATGAATGACTGGCTGGTACATTTACTCTTGCAACAACATTTAAGGTGCTTTTGCCGGAATATAATGAGGAAGTCCTTCTTATTCCACGTCCTGTGGCATTGGCAGAAAGTTCATAGAGTTTCTCCTCTTGAGGGGAGAAAGGAGTATGGTGAAAGGGAAGAGGAAATGAGCCTGACAATATTTGTTTCTTCTTCCAAATCTACCAGATTTGAATTCTTACTATGGAAGCATGAAAGGCTGTGTAGTCCTCCAGTTATTTTCTACCAACCCTGTTTCAAGTAAATAAGGAGAGTTGACTGAGTTAATAATTTATTAAAGACCCATTTTCTATTAATTTAAGAGTGTTTTCTGTTTAGTAAGTGATACACTGTTCTTTGGAAACGCAAATGTGCTGAATGTGCAAGAGGGAAAAGACTTCTGCTGTAGTGATCACTGAAGAGTGCATGTGTCCTGTAAATGTTTGAGCTGTATTTCATAATCCAAAAGTAAAAGAGGACAGAGTCTGTTAACAGTGATGGAGATTTGCAACAGGATTATGTTGGTGTGCTTCCACATCATGTAGTTAAACAGCTAATTCAGTTTATATGTTAATAGCAGTTTTGTTGCTTTATAAACTCCAAACAATTTATACGTAATAGGAGCAGCAGATTCTGGCTTAGGATTGTGTTACTACTCGATTGTATTTGTTTTTCTTTACTTCAGTAAGGGAAATTAAAACACTTCCGACAATCTGAAATCTGCTTTACTTTTGAGCCCTCTAGGCTGGCAAGTGATGCTCACGAAGAGCATTTTTTGTTTAGCTGGGGAAACTCTTTCACCCTTAAAGATCACATTACATGTGATTTGTAAGTACATTGCATAGCTAATGTGCTGTAGGTGCTCTTTTGAAAATATTTTCATGTGGAAAACATTGTAAGGAATACATCAGTCCCTGAGTTTTCTTACTGGGAGAAACATGACTGCCCCAAGCGCCACAGGTGCTACTCAGAGTGTTGATAAATACTCAATACCGAAGATCTTGCATTTTCCAAAACCACTGTGAGTATTGCCTTCCAGTGGGGCAATTAAAAAGCCTTGGTGCTTTGGAAAGACCACACACAGAGGCACATTCTCTCTGCTTATTACTAATGCCCTTTGCTCAGCACGCAAAGCTTTGCATGGCTGAAGCTTTCAAGTGCCCCTTGCAGTCTAACACTGACTAGGTAGCTTTTTGGCTTCTTTTTTAATTTTTTTCCTAGATAGTTGCCTTTGTCTACTAGTCTGGCACACTTAATAGCAGTTACCACTCACTATTTAGATCAATGTTTTTGCTGGAGCTCAAAGCATAATAAAGAATAAATCAAATTGGTGACGTAGGCTCTGATGTTAATGTTTTGAGGTTGTCCCCCATAATGATGACACTAGAATAATTTAATGAAGTTTTATGACTTTGCAGGGTAAAGCAATGGAATATTACCTTTAACCAAATATGTGGACTTCAGTGATGGTATTTTAAAATGAATTTTTCCATGTTGATGAAAATGTCATTTGAATGCTCTAGCAGAGCAGCTCATGTTAGATCTTGTATATTTTGTTGTTTATCGTACCACTATCCCTTCTACCTAATTTTATTAGCTAATGGTTTGTTTCATTTTTTTTCTCTGCCTTATATACCTGAGAAGATGTTATAAGCATTCTCAGCCACAAGTATTCTCCCAAGTGCTTTTTAACTGCTAGAAAGAGGTTCTTTACCACTGAAAGTCATACATAATGGAAGAAATGGTCCATCTTCATAATGATTTCAGTGCTCTTTTTGTGGATTTTTCTTTTATGTGATAATAAAAAAAATATAGTTGAACACTCATTTCTTCTGTCATTTAGAAAAGTACTAAGAACAATCAATGTTAGGAAATAGTTTCTGTGAAATAAAACTCGAAGAGGACTGAAGCTGAAAGATCAAGCTATATTAAAAAAGTGTCAGGAAAAAAATAAAAAGACATCATCTTGACTATTTAGTCCTTGGCCACAATTGTAGGAATTTGCAGGTGTTAAATTTTACAGAGAATGACTTGCAAATTTTTGCTGTTGTCAGTAGAAGCGTATTGGGAATTGTATGGAAGAAAATAAGCATTGACTAACAGATGACAGATTTCAAACAGCATGTATTCTCCAGTTTGTATCAAGTCTTATGTGAATGCTGATCAGACTTAATTTATATTGTGTTTTATGAGTGTGATGAAAAAGAAAAAAAAAAGACAACAAGAATGTTGAGTCAAATTATTTTTTATGGACAGGAAGCCTTCAAAGAAATTACTATGTTGCTGTGTTAGAGTGAGTAGATTAATTAAAAAAAAAAGGTAATGTGATTTAGATTACTCTGTTTGATTTATGTGAAGTATATTGGAGTACTTTATCTGTTAATTTGCCCTGAAGTTATAAAAGAAAATTGTATGTAATGTGCTGTCATGCACACATGTGTTTCTTTATTTACCTTTGTTTTGTGTTTCTCTGAAAGGAAAAAAAAAACAAACACAGCAAATCTGTTGTTTTTGTTACATGCTAAATTTTCTATTGCTTTTAAACTGGGTTAAGTCTGATGATACAGAAGTGCTTAAAATCCTATTTTCTAAAGCAAAGATAGACTTTTATCTCCCTCTCACCCTTGGGAGACCCTGATTCTGAGTTGCTTTAGCAGCCATTTATTGTATAATTTCGTCACATTTCACATGGAATGTCTTAATAAGTCGGTGTCACCTTTATTTTTCTGTGATATAAACTCAAAACTAGACTGAGCTGACCAGTGAATATTCTCTGGTTGTTCAGTGCACACAAAAAAATCTGTTGGGAATCATTCCATTTGCTCAAGGCTGTGTCACTTGAGTGGCTAAAAAGGATATATAAGAGCATTCCTGACCAAGTTCTGTCTGGGTATTTTTCAGACACTTCAAGGTCTCAGTTTCTTTTGGATTTGTAGTTTTTTTCACCCCTCATTTTGAGATCTCATAAACACGCTCACTTTTGCCTTACTCTGAATTACTGGATTCCTGACTGATGCGCTTTCATTTCAATGTGTCCTTCTGCAGGTTGTTGAATGTGCTGTGCTGTGAGCTCAATACCCTCTTACTCTTGGAGACTCAGTATAAAGTGTCACAAGTTTTATTAGCTGCTCAGGAGGAAAATGTCACAGAAACTTCAGAAGGACCAGGGTAAGAAGAGACTGATGTAAATGTTATTTTAACTATAAACATTTCTCCTGAGAACAAATACATTAATACCATAGTGGCTTTAAACATGCAAATGGTCATATGAAATTGGCTTCTAATGTGCATAAATTTACTTACATACAGTTTTGTCACTGAACTTAAATTATGAAAAGACACAACAGTCTTATCCTTTCTCACACATCCATCACGAAAGCGTAAGAAATAAACTCCGAATATATTTTCTAATTTTTATTTGTATTAATCTTATTTCTCAAAAAAATGTGTGAAAATTGTGGATGTAAATAGACCTTTTCATTTTTATTTTATACTGTTCTTTTATTTCATGTGTATAATACAAAATTAAGGTATAATTTTAATGTTTGTAACTTAAAAGCATCATCAGGAGTTTGTGATTTTTTGATTTGGTTTGTTTAATTATAATGTAGTTGACTCTCCAAATTCTGTGACTTTCCATTATTGCTGACTTCTAAATAAAGTTGCACAATCCATCCTTTCAAAAGAAAAAGTGTATTTTTGGCACAGAAGTGGACCATCATGTAGTCACACACGTTTTGTCCTTACTCTCACATGCTGAATTTTAAGAACTTTCCTCTTACTATTTGCTATACGGTGCCAGTTCAGAGTTTAAATCAAAAAGTAGAAGATGATTGTTATTTACTATTTGAGGATGAAGCATACTACTCCCTTGCTGTGGAAAAAGTTTTAGGAAACTTTTTTATAAAACCTAACGTTCCACAGAAACATAAGGAGAAGCTTTTTCCGTGTGAGGGTGACAGAGCACTGGCACAGGCTGCCCAGGGAGGATGTGGAGTCTCCTTCTCTGGAGACTTTCAAAACCCGCCTGGACACATTCCTGTGTGACCTACTGTAGGTGATCCTGCTCTGGCAGGGGGGCTCGGCTAGATGATCCCTAGAGGTCCCTTCTAACCCCTGACATTCTGTGATTCTCTGATTTATTGCTTCAAAGATTTTGTACCTTGGGGTACACAGTGACTTCAGACAGCAAGTTGGCTGTGTGTTAAGTTACTAATAACTCTGCCTATTTTTGACAGCAGAAATTCTTGGTAGACCAAATAAAGAAAAAATTTTGATGGTCTGTTAACTGTCCCAGCCCTAATTACTGAACATCTGCTCATAACAAACCTTGTGAAGTTCTACTCTTTTGTGTCAGTAATTGCTCATTTGTTTCCAATCAGCAGTGAGAAGGGAAGTACCAAGTTAGGGTAGTGATTGCAGACACCTCAAAATACTTCATGTTTCTGGTTATTTCTTTATTCCTATGTGTCTCCTGGGCTGTGTTTTAGGTCCAGTATGTCTCTCAATATATTCTGGCTCATTTAACCACAATTGTTTAATTCAGAAAACTTTAACAAAAGTGGTTCTGATTTTTGGAGGGTGGTTTGTTTTTTTTTTCCCCCAACAGAGATTTTATAATTGATGGTCTTTCAGTGGAGAGAAACCACATTCTTGTAAGGATCAATCTAATTGGAGGACCGCAGGAAAGGATTTTGCCTTTGAGAGTACTAGATAAGGTAAGAAACTAATCGTTTCTCTTTCCATAACTTGTGCCTTCATTAACTGAATATTTTTGTTGATAATCCAGCATGTGGAAAATTATTTAACATTAAGAAATACCAGTCCACCTTCAGCTTGATAAAGGGCTAAATTTTTTAAGAGGTGATGCACTGAAAAAACACATTGTCCCCACTATCTGGGGATTGGCATATACCTGGGACATACTGCATTCAGATGAAGTGTTTATATTCCTCCATTTTTATGCTAGTCTTCCTACTAGAAAAGTGAATGCAATTTGCCTTTTTTTTTTACTTTTATATTTCTGTGTTTATTAGCTTTTCATTTGTTATATCTTCCTTTTATTTGATACTTCTCCATGTTTGGGTTTTTATCTGCAGTATCTAATACCTGAAGCTTTCATCGATGTTCTAACAATACAGTATGATGTTTGTTAAGCAGCAACTTTAAAAGTTGCTTCTCACTGATAATCAGTCTTGTAAAGATGAAATGCAGATTACTATTAGCACAGCAAAGACAGCTAGATAAAAAAATAACATTGGAAATACAGTTTTTTGGGCGTTTTTATTTCTACACAAACTGCAATTTCCTTTTTGATGAAAAAAAAGAAGTGCAAAATCAAAACTGTCAGTGGAATGTACCATTAAAAAATACTGGCTCAAATGCATTTTGGATTTTGTATCCTTTGACTTTTTTTTTTATTTATGGAATATCTCATTGCAAGTTGTAGTATTAAGCATAATTTTGGTGCATAGGCCATAATTCTGTGAATTCTGTGTGTTAATTGATAAAATGCTCTTAATTTTTCCCCTAGATTAATTTCTTTCTGGTCCTGTTTCTAGGGCAGTAATCCATATCCTTGGCCAATGTTTTCATCATTCCCTTTGCCAAAGTGCTATTCTGCAGAAATTCCTGGGAAAACTGAATTCAGACAAGGTACAGCATAGAAGTCAGACAAGCATCTCTGGAGATTTTTAAGTATATTTTTTTACTATTCCTTCCTGCCCCTTTCCCCTTCCCCCAGATTATAATCTCACAAATATTTCAAGAATTTTTACTGTTGGCTGCATTCGTAGCTAAATAAATTGCTTTGGTTTGGCTTGCTGGGCTTTGGGCAACTGTCAATCTGCAAAGCTCTGTTTAGTAACCTAATTCTTATGCAAACTTCAAGATTAACCTTTTGGCTTGTCTCAGGTAGGTGACTCATGAGATCCATTTGTATCATCTCTCTACTAACTGAAGCAAGACAGTATCATTAAGCTACAAATTTTTTCTTACGCTCTTTTCATGATTCAGATCCCTGTGTTTACAAAGCTCGGTGGTGTGTGAAATAGACAGCGTTTAGGATAGTTGATTTCCACATTGAACATCAATTTGGAATGTGGGCAGACCGAAGAATCCTTTGAAGAGCTATCTAGGCAATTCATACAGAGAAACCGTTTTAAGGTTTTAATTTGCACAGACAATGCAATAGAATCTAATGAATGGTTTATAGTAAGTAAATTGTTCTTTGTATTTGTTCATGCTTACTGTATCCTTGAGATGAACTTATTCAAAATGATTTTTGAATTTCCTTAGCAGGTAGAGATTTTCAAAAGTGATAGAAATTCTGCATTTTTTGTAGAATACAAAATAGTCTGTTCATAAGTATCTAGTATAAATTTAAAAAAATGATGACTCCCTCCTCTGACAAGGCCGTGTAGTTATAAAAGAAGGGAGTTTTCTGTATCTTAACTGATGCAGGCTTCCCAAGGCAATTTTCATGAGACAATGATCAAATCACTGTCAAGTGAGTGCCTAGCTGTTTTAAATATGTCTTCAAGGAGGCAGGTAGTATTGATTTGGTTTTGGAAAAGCATATTTTATTGTATCCCACAGAACCTCTGTTCTGTTCAGAGCAAATCTGTTGCTCATCATTAACCAGTGGGATAGTGGTTTAGAGATTCTAGTTTTCACTTTCATGGATGACAACCAGCTAGGAAAGCTGGGGTCAAACTATTTAATTAACAGGAAACTTGCTGAAATAAAGTTTCAAACGTTTGCAAATGTATTTGAAATATTAAAATATTTTAATTTGCAAAGGCATTTTTAGTATTAAAGGTAACTGAAGGAGAAGACTATATAACTGAAAAATGAACAGAACATTAGTTTCATAGTCAAACTATTTTGTGTTTGCTGTTTAGGAGAAAAAAAAAAAGGAAAACAAAATTTTGAAACCGGTCTATTTCAGTTTTCATTTAAAAAAAAAAAATCAAATTGATTCTTTCACCAAACTGTGAATATCTGATTTTCCAGACTGAAACTTTCAGGATGTGTAAGTTATTTTTAGAGAAAGTGTCAGAATGAATAGATCAAAAAAGTAAAAGAAGGAAATTCCTAAATTGCTTTTTCCAGGAGTATTTGTAGCATGGGCACTGCCATCTAAGGAAAATAGATACATTTAAGGATTCTACAGCACAGCTACAGGTTGTGACTTGGAAATATGATATGCAAGTATGAATTGAAATAATTGGAACTGGCTGATGCTGAAAAGACAGAGGTCATGTAGGTCTGTTAGTATGTTAAAAGCAATTATAAGGAGGGCAGATTGATTATTTTCTGTATCCTCGTGCAGGAAAAATAGTTGGCTTACTTGGCAATAACTTGGCAATATTTTCTACAAATTAATAGGAAAATTCTTTTAGAATATGTCCGGGAGTCACGAAGTGGTCATTGGAGGGTTTAGTAACAACTTCTTTGATGCTGTGAATATTTAGAAATCACGTTGTGTGTTTCACAACTTTCTAGGAGGTTTTAAAAACAGTTTAGACAGTTACTTGCTAAATTTTAATTCTGCTTCATTGCAAGGAGACGGGCAGGGTTAACACGATGTGGGGATGCACAGTGGCTTTGTGGTATCTTTCACCGAGGATCAAAGGCCAGCACAGTGTTTCTGCAATGCCCCGAAGCTGTCTGTGTTCAGATTTCATGCTGCAGTGTTCCATTATGTAATTTGTGCAGTATCTTTCCTGTCCTCTTTTTGAGGTGTTTCTGTGACGTGGATAATTAAGACTATGAGATTCTTAATACTGTTACAGAATATCCTTTTTTTTTTGGCTGAAAAGGCTGTAACTGTAGGTTTTATTGTGTCTGTCCTGACCTCTTACTTCCCTCCTCTCTTATTACCCAAATGACATGGACACCTGAAGAGAAACTTACCTTCCCTTTCTCCTGTGTCCATAACGTAATTGTGATGTCAACTGTAAAAACAGAACCTCAGTGGCTATTTATTTATTTAATTTTTCTGTATCTACAGAACAGATTTTGGACATGAATTCGAGGGGAGGAAAAAAAAAGCCATATCTGAGTGCACATCTGTAAACCTTTTTTGATGTTGCTCTCTCTGAACATGTTTCTCTTCTTACCCTCCTTCAGGTGGAGTTGAAGGACGGATGCAGTAACAGAACCTTTTTTTCCCAGGGCTGTCTCTCAACTACTAGAAGTTTTTGAGTGCAAGCTGAAATTACTCACTGAATATTTAGAACTAGTGTGGCGTTGTATGCTGAAAAGATTATGTGCTATTGAGGTCAGGGAACAGGAAGCTTCATTTCCACAGCCCTAGACCTCACGTAGCCTGTGACTGTATCTAGTATCATGAAAACCACAGATAAAACTTAATGTAGCGTATGAGGAGTGTTCACTGAAAATGACTTTTTCCCACTGAGTCTTCTATGAAGAAAAGTCAAGATATGGTTCAGGGTTTGGGTTTTTTTGTTGTTTTTGTTTTTCTTCCCTCTCTAAATTAGTTTGAAGGACAGTCTTAAAAGATGCAGCACCGGCACCTTTTTGGTGATTCAGTTTGCGGAGGAGAAGGGAGGACGACTAATTAGCTGTAAGAAAAAGCAGAGGAGTGCTAACTCTGCAGTGTGTCTGGAACGTGAGTTTTTATAACACTTTTGCTATCATTCTGTGCTGATGTAGTGCTGCTCACAAACACTGGATATTTTGCCTCACTGGATCAAAAATGAAGTTATCATAATTTATGCTGGTAAAATTACTAACTGCATTGGAGTAGTGGAGCAATTCCTCCAGTTCATGATGACGGTTTGAATGGGTAGACTCACCCAAAGAGTATATTTGTATTTAAGGAGGTTCTGTAGTGCAGCACTCTTTACAAATAACTGCCCTGGTTTTGCAGATATTAGGCATTTGCCTGTATGGTATTTGTGTCTGTAAGAAAGGATATATGGAAGAATAAATTTGCTGGGTAGTCTAATACTATGCATTAATTATTTCAGCCAGTATTTAGAGTTGGAAAACTATTGGATAGCAGTATATTAGTGTTTCACTTCTGCAAAGATAGTTTATAGTGAAGCTTCAGATGATTTATGTGGATCATTATTTGCATGTGGAAATTAATTATGTCATTTCCACCTGTTTACAGCGAGGTACCCTGTTGCTTCTCTTTTAATAGTTCATTTATTTTATTTCAGTAAGGTAATTTGAGGAAGAACTGTTAAGTGGTTTTCTAAGAGTGATCTAGTCCTTCGTCATTCAGGGTACAACTCCTAAAAATAGTGATTTTTTGCTATTTCACTTCTAATAATAATTACATTGCAGGTTATTAAAAGTTAAACCATTTAGAACTGTAGTAAACTGTAATATTCACCCTTCTGTTTGCATGGAAGATCTGTTTTTCTTCTCCCAACTCTGCAGTTGTGACAGTTGGTTATGAGTGTGACTGAAGAACAGTGTCCGTAATAGTCGTGCAGTGACTTCTTAGCATTTCTATATATGTAAGCACCCCATCGTTCATTAATCTTACTCTCTTCATGACTCGTAGAGTCCAGAATCGCTACCAAAAGCCTTCTGTGATAATGCCCTTAGGTCTTTTGATGTTTTATCTCAGCCACTGTTTTCATGAGTGTTTGCTTCACACTCTTAACTTGAGTGGAAACATGCTGCCACATTTCTGTTTTGTGTTTTAGTGGGGTTTTTGTTTGTTTTTTTAAACCAGACTTCTTCCAGTCATGATTTTTTGATATCTGCCTGACACTAGCGATCTCTCTTTTTCAAAACTTTTTCTTAGATTTTCTCTATTAAAGAACCAGCTATATTAGCTTTACTGTTATTCCTTATAATTTCACATAAATGTCTTTGTCACTTGTACTCCTTTTTATTTTTGGCTTACTATTCATGTATGAGCCTTGTCTTCCCCTCTTTAAGAAGTCCACTCAATTCATGAAAGGTGAAAGAGAAGTAGATGGACAGGTCTATCAGAAAGGTACATGGGCTTTCCTAAAATATATAACCTTATATGGATTAGTTTTCATGTAGTAGTCAACTATAGCATTATCTCTAAATTTAGATTTTGAATAGAGTACACATGGATTTATGGATCTTAGTTTCTTAAACTAAGAAAACATATATGTCATAAAACTATTAGGTGAGAGAACTCATGGCATTTCTGACATTTTCAAAAACATTAATGGATTTTCCTAGGTCTTACCTGCTTTAGACACAGAAGCTAGCTGCAGAATTGTGTGGAGAATTATAAAGTATCATCTTTTGTGGAATGAGATCAGTTTAAACTTGCAGCAAGTTGTGGTGTGGTGGTTCAGGTTTCATATGTGTAGGTAACTGTAGGTTAGTTACTGTGCAGTTCCATAGCTTCACAAGCTAGTACTTTTTTTTTTAATGAAGTTACACAAAGTGATTAGTGTTAGAACAAAGGAAGGAATGGGATAGCAAAATATAACCACATATAAAGAAGAAGGCAGGACTGCAGCAGATGAAATTAATACAAACTTCTCTTCAGTCACGCTATTAGAGTATGATTTCTTGTTGAGCATATTTAAAAGCTCACTGTCATCAGAAGACAAGTCTTACTCATTTATTTTCTTACTTTTCTTTCTATTGCTGTTTTTTACTCTTTTATTTTCTTCCCCTGTTCCCTCACCTGTCCTTCACCTCCTTCTGGCATTTCTTTGAGGAAAAAAAACTTTAAGTCATTAATCTAGGATAACTAGTGAACCTATTTAATGATCATAGAATCATAGAAGACGGTGGGCTGGAAGGGACCTTTGATTTACTAGAAAAGAGAAGAAAAAAAGAGCAGGATTCTCTTTTGGCATTGGCATGTGTTTAGAACACCTCTAGGGGTAGTGTGAAAAACCACTTTCAATAACAAACAATCTTCACAGTCCAGGATTCTGTGGTAGTTGGGAGTTCCATGTATGTGGTAATTCTGTTGGACATGTTATACTAATTCATGAAAGTGACCTGGCATTTATATCCTATCACGTTATTTTGGAAGTAGTTTACTTTCAAAACCCCTCTTTTTTTGTGCCGTGATGACCTGTTGGGGGAAATGATAGTCCATGTTTAATGACAAGCTGTTACAAGAAGTGAGTGGCTTATTTGGAAGAAAATAAGATATTATGAGTTTCCACAATATGATACCAGTTACAGAATGTAATGGATATATTAAATGTATAGTTATGCTATAGTGTCTTGGTTACATGGATCTTAAGCTTGTTTCTCTGTCATTTGAGTTTGAACATTCCTGTGTGCTCTCTGAGGATCCTCTGTCTTGTATTCCCCTTGACTGGGGAAAAAAATCCATTTGTTATGTGAAAACAAGTTCTTATTTTCATTATGTTGCTTGCCTGTCTCTGTTCTAATGACACAAATGGAAATTAAGTATTGACTTAGCAGTTGTGATAAGTAGTTCAGATTTTACTGAGAATATTTACTTTTGCATTTTGTCTCTTCTTTAGGCTTTTTGCAGACTTGCATACATATATCTGCATTAGTCATATCTGGTACATATTTTAAATTGCTTAAGTTCCTTTTTTGTTAAAGACTCCCTTCCCAGAGGAGCCTTAGGGCAAATACAGCAGCCCGTGTTTTTAGCAAAATACCTGTAAAGACTGTAATACCATCATCTTTATTTCCCTATCCTATTGTCTGAGCATAAATTAATGTTGCAAAAAGGTTATGTGTTTAAACACTGCGATTTTGGATGCATTGATGTTGCTAGCATGCTTGCATTTCAGCAATCACAAAATAAAAATTTAGTTTTGTAAAACCTGCACAAAAGAAGAATATTAGAGAGACAGACTGTGCAAAGAGAAATAGGGGTCAAATCAAGAAGCCAGGAGGAAGCAGCAGACATGGAGGGACCATGGTCTTGAAGTCCTACTTTTTTTGAAATTGTTGAAGGCTATTTTTAGTAGTTTATTTTCCTTCAGAGTAACCAAAATTTCACCCTGGTCTCTGTTTGGTAAATTGACTGATTAAATCTCAACTTGTAGTCTCTGATCCTAATATGCCAAACTGATTTACTACAATTCTTTAGGAACTGCTTTGCAGTTCTAAGATTTTCTTCAACCTTCCCCTGTTATAGAAATAGCAGAAAAGGGCAGAGAAAGAACTAGAAATCCTAGTGATAATACTATAATAGTAAATCCTTCTTCACATGAAATTTTCATACTCACATAAGCTGTTCTAAGCATCAGTGCATGTTATTTGGAAAGATACTAGCTGAGGATTTAATTATTTGAGGATGACAAAAGAATTTCATGTTAATTCATTTGGAATAATTAATTATAATAATTAAGTTACTATAATCAGCTTTTTTTTGGAAATACTGTGTATCATATAATAGATTTCAATGACAAGGATATAATTTACTTATAATCATTGAGGTCTTTAGACCAGCTTAAAATAAATTATATGCAATATTGTAATTCTATTGAAAATATTCTAATCCTCCTAAAAGAATAAGATAATGTGAAAATAGTTTTTTGTTTGTGGAAACAATTAAGTGTTATTCGAAAACTGAATACTGAAATACTCTGAAGACGTAAGAATAACAGCAAGTATTCTAAATAGCTGTAGACTGACTCAAGCAGTTTTTGAACCTTTAGTCAGGAGTCTCTTTTTGTGACAATTTCTGTGGTGGTTTGGGCTTTTTTTTTTTTTTTTTCAAAATTGCAGAACAAAGGAGAGTTTGCAAGATATGAGGAACCTTCATCACCTTTCTGAATTGGTGGTAGTATTAGTAGAAGAGGCTGTGATCCTTTCATAATGATGGGAACTGCATGGTCCCATAGCAAAGGGAGAGTGCACAGCTAGAATGAGTGCACATGCATTTACCTTATTGCAGGCACCACCTTTATTTTTCACCTCAAGTTGACCAGAAGATATTTCATAGCAGCATGAAGTACTTTGGGAGCCAAGCTGCCTGAGGAGAGGCAGTCTGATTGATTGTTTCCATCTTGTAGGGTCAGGATTTTCTCGTAGAAAACCGAGTTTGATCAATTTTATCTTACGTAAAATGGCTTTATAAAATGACTTGGCATTTGAACTTGAAATTTTTTCTGCTTCAGAAAAATAGAATAGTCAGCTCTTCCCAATATGTTAGCATATTATAATTGGATTCCTAAAGTATGTGCATACATGCTTTTAATTGCTACCTTGCATGTATTATTCAGTGTGCTGTGTCACCATGCATCATGGTAGCTTGCTACTATTCATTATTCCGAGTGAATTTCAAGATGGACATTTTGATTGCAGAAGATATTTGAGTTGAAGAAAACATTTGTAAGGCTTTAATTACAGGCATTAAGTTAAGTACAGCCAACTTAACATTTTCACGTAAACACACATGCTGGTTCTACATTTGTCACTGCGGTGGGATTTTTTCGTACCTCCGTGATACTCAGCTGGTTGTGACATTTAATACCTCAGCCTGTGATAGTTTATTCCAGAAAATTGGTAAAGTATGTGTAATTTCCTCTAGCTTAGTAGAAAATTGAGGAAAAATAATAACCACTTTAGGCAAGAGTGAAGATACTTATTGTTCTTTTGTCACTGCATCAATAACAATTTTAATTTTGAAGGCATGTCTTCCTATTGTAAAGAGAGACTGTATCTTTAATAACAAGGTAAAATAACAGTAAGGCGCAAGCTTTGAAGTTCTTTCTTTGCATTTAAAAGCAGTCTTTTGTAAAGATCTTTTTGTAAACTGTTCCACATAATTGTTTTATAAGCAAGCTGGACATATAATGAAAAGTCTTATCTGATACATTTGTGCCAATATAACAATTGTACCACAAGACTGTGCTTTAGTAGTGTGCAGGTAACTCGATCAGTATGCCTGGCAACCTGAAGGTGTGCACGTATGTGCCATAATATCTGTTCGTAATAGAGGCGTCTGAAGGAAACCAGAAATTCTCTATGGCACACTGTTCTGTTGCTGTCTTATGATACTTCATTTTATGTTTTACAAGATAGTGCTATCACCTCATTGTTTTATTATTAAACTAAGATATTTATTGGAGGATCTTTTCCTATCTTTTCTATTTTAGATTCTCAGAGAGGTGAAATCACATGGAAATACCAAGCTACTTTCTTTAAAATCTTTCCAATTCTTATCATTTCAGGACAGGGGAGTAATAACTTAAGAGGAGTTCTAAAATGTGCCTCAGTAATGTCTTAAATGTTGAAAACCTGGCAGTAAGTACAATGAATATTTCTATTCTGTGTAAAGCAGAATTTCATCGACTTTAGAACTGCTTTTCCAGATTAATTGTCATAGAAAAAGGGATATGTATTCACTCTTTTCTTCCTAAAGTATGAGAGGTGACAAAAATACTAGGCAGTGACAGGGCTCTCAGCTGCCATTAAATTTCTTGTTCTGTGTTGAAACAGTTTCTAGTTTCTGAAGTTATCTGCTTGTCTCCTTGGTACTCTGTAACTAATAGCTTCTTACTAACTTGGGTACAAAGCATAAAAGAAAGAAAAAAAATAAAGATCCAAGGTTCTCATTATAGAATAACACTAATTTTTCATTTCTTCTAGATAAAGATCTTGACAAGCTCTTATCACTCTTAAAAAGTCCAGAGAAGCAAACTGGGTGGACAGAAACTTGTAGAAAGCAGTTTTGCAAAGTCATGAAAGCCAGACCAAGTATCATCAGTGGAACAAGTGAGTATGACTGAGTTAAACAGAGCAAAGAAAAAGAAGGCCACTTTCATTGAGGATTACATTATCTGTACAAGTAGTCAATAATTTTATGTTGATTATGAAAGCTATTTCAATGAGATTTTCCAGAGAAAGCAAGACATATGCCTCATGTCCTATTTTTCTTTCTTTCTGGCCATGATTCTTCTGTGTTGGCTGTTTTTCAGTGAAATTTGACGCAGAAAGAGAGCTCCAATATAGGTCTTTTTTTCAGATCTCTAAAGGGTCCATTACTGAGAAAATGGAAAAGAGAGCCTAAGAGAAAACAGATATTTCCCAGATATCCGTGGATAACTTTAGGATGACTTGGGAAATTGTATTGATGACAAGTTTCAGTAAAACTTTTCAGAATCAAGCCATACTAAACATCAAAGAATCCACTTACTCAGATTTTTCTTAGTGAAGAGTGTGCTCATGCAGGAGCATTGGTACAGATCAGTTAAAACAACAAACAGTGATCACCCATATGATATAAATCATCAGAAATCAGGTGTAATAATTTACTTGTTGTGTCATATAAACTTGTGTAGCAATAAAGAAGCTGGGTGTTTTCCGAAATCGCGGGCTTTCGTTCCTGTAAGAGTTGTGGTTATGGTCAGATGGACAGTGCATAGTCTGTCTTTTTGTTTACAGATGCCAAAGGTTTCCCTTCAAATTCTTTAGGAGAGCAGTTAATACAACTAGCAGTGAAGACAGATGAAATACCTTCTATATGAGATCAAAGTAACCCAACATTTATATTTTACATGAGACCTGAATTTTATGATAAATTAGATTGCAGTATAAAAATTATACGGCAGTTTTGGAAACCTTAAGGAAGTAATTTATACATATGATTTAATATTAAAATAGTTCAGAAGAAATTTGTCATTTTTATAATGTGGTTAAAATCAATAATTATCGACTGTTTCTAAATTCTTGGAGCTCTCTGTTCTTATTGCTTGTTTGAAATAAGCTTGAGTCTTGAGTCTTAGATGACTGTTAATTTGGCAGAGGTTTCACCTTCCATTGGGAAGAATGGCTGTGTAGACAGAATATGTATATATTTGTATATGATGCATATATGCACTCATAATGTACATTATATTCTACACGTCATCAACAACTGAATGTATTCAGATAGCTTTGTGAAACAGGTGATCAGAGATTCATAGCGTTCAAAACCAACTGTATGTATTTTATATGAGCTTCTGCTTGTATAAGAAAAATGAAGAGTAGCAATTAAAAAAGCCTTGCATTTTTCTAGCAAAGTGCTATGTTTACTTCTCTTGCATGACTCTAGTAGTTCTCGTAGTTCAGTGAGGAGGTTTTTGGTGTTGATTTGTGTGAAGCACAAATAATTAATCTTTGTAAAAGTGATTTTATATTCTAGACTCATCTCGTCTTGGATTTTATGAAATTTTTGATGAAAATTGTTTATCTATCTTCCTGCCTCTAAAAGGAGTTATTTGTTGAAAAAACATATTTTTACAAAACCTAAAACATACATTTAAAAGTAGTTGGCTTAAAAAAAAAAAAGTATTTCTTTTTCTGCTTTGTAGTTGTCCATACACAGACTCAAAACCTGCATAGATTGTTTTCTGTAACTTTGGAGGTACCAGAAGCTAGAATGAAGAATTAGACTCATTAAGATATGTTAACACAAAGCAAAAAATTGTTTTTGCTTCTGAATAACTTTTTCCAACTGAGATGGAACTGTGAGTAAAAGCAACACATTGTCAGTGGAATTGTTGTGAAGCCTCACAGGGAGATCTGCAAGTGCTTTCACAACCCGCACCAAAAAAATGAAGTATGGAAACAGAATACTATAATGAAACATTAAATAAATAAATAAAAACACCCTACAGAAGAATAGTAGTTTAAACTAAGTGTAAGTACCAGTAATTTAAGGTGAGTGCAGAGCTGTTCAGATGGTGCATGTCTGCATGGAGATATTTCAGATGCAGCAAAATACTTACTAGCTGTGTGGTTTGAGACAACATCGTGTTCACTGAAATTATTTTTATAATATTTGTCTTTTGCAGCATGTGAAGCCCCTAGATTTCATGAGAGGCTTCAGTCCAGATCCCAAGAAATCAAAACTTTCTCTTTAGTTACAAATAGAGCAAACCCCAGGAATTAGAGAAGGGAGATGCATGCTTATGCTTCCTGTGCTGGGTTCTCTCTGAGGGAGACTAACATTAACAGCAGTTGAGCCAGAACGTAATCAGCAAAGACAACATGGGATTCAATGACTCTGTACTGTAGAGTGTATTGATTCTTTTTTTAACTATTTTGTTATAAGTTGTCAGGATTACCAGATGCTGAATCTATAGAACTTGCCTGAATGCAGAAAATTCTTGAGCAAACTGTATAGTATCAATATCTCTAATTCACTCTTCTTGTGTTACTGTCACATTGACTTGGTCAGTGTTTTTGTGCTAAATGCTGTGGTATCAACATTACATTTGAGAATGTCCATCTTCAGCCCTAGAATGGTGTTTCCTCTACTAAAGCGTCACCTCTGACTATTGCTTTTAACTAATTTCTGTGGTCAGGTGTTAAGATTTGGTTTTGAATGACTTTGTTGATCTGCTGAAAGTAGATGTCTTGTATGTCTTTCAATGTGGCAGGACTGAAAGCATGGATTTTTTCGTGGTCATCTAAAAGCTAATCACACTCTAGACAACCATGTTCTACATTCTGATGTTCTAAACACAATAAGATAAGAGGAGGATATTCTTTTGGTCATTCCATGTATAAAGGTGCCACGGAACTGTGGATGTTAGGCTTGTTGTTGAGTGTCTTCGCGTATGTCTCTGGGTCACTTGGGGCAGCTAGAGAACCACAGATAGGGGACTTGGTCAGGTTAAGGCTTGACCTCTTTTGACCTACTCTTTGCAATGCTTGTGGCCTTCCTGGATCATCTTTACTGCATCTAGGTAAGAACTTTCTGTGTGTTGGCATCTAGGTTTTGGCAGGAAGAGAAACAGGCAAATCAGTTCTTCTTAGAAATAGCTTAGATTTATGTATAAAATTATTGGGCTTTGTGAGTCTAGGCTTAGCATATTGCATGTTCAAATCATTCACATGGTTTGGAAGTTTCTGTGGGTTTTATTTTCGGTGGTTTGTTCTTTCTTTTTTTTTTTTTGAACCAGTATAGTGTCCAGTGATAGGACAAGCGGCAATGGATGCAAGCTGTAACATAAAACGTTCCACAGAAACATAAGGAGAAGCTTTTTCCCTGTGAGGGTGACAGAGCACTGGCACAGGCTGCCCAGAGAGGTTGTGGAGTCTCCTCCTCTGGAGACTTTCAAAACCCACCTGGATGCGTTCCTGTGTGGCTGCACTAGGGGATCCTGCTCTGGCAGGGGATTGGACTAGATGATCTTCCAAGGTCCCTTCCAACCCCTAACATTCTTGGCTAGACTATTTCATGCCTTTTTAAAGTTGTGTCTCCATTCTCATAATTCAGGTTTTGCAAAAGACATTTATGTTGTTTTCAGCCCCAGCAACTCCTTTCTTATCTGTTCCTTGTTAGTGTTGTATCAGCAGCTGATCTCTTTCCTGTCTGGGTAGATTCAACACCTTTAATCCTGTCCTCTCTTAGAAGACTTTAAACTCTAAGTAACAGAAATTGAGGGTGTTGCATAGATCATATAACTGTATGCCAGCACTTCATAACTGAGAGGTATTCAGCCTCCTAACTTGCTCCATGGAGTAATTCAGACTTTGCCTGGCATTTCTCCCTCAGGAATCTGGATTTAGATTACCCATGTTCTTTAGTGCCTATTAATTTACCTCCACAATGTTCTCTCTTCAACAATCAATCAAACCAACAATTACATGTGGGAGGCATATTTCTTTTTTAAGGTAATTTTCATCTTCAGGCAGTTGTTGTTTTAGTCTCAGCAACCACTGAGGACTTCAAAGATAGGAAAAAGCACAGCAGCTCCTGAAATTGCATGTGAGATCTTACTGAAAAACACAGAGGTTTTCATTATATTTTACAAACAGAATGGTTGATAAAAGTAGAGTGATTATGATCAACACAGTGTTCTGAAGTCCCTTAATGCTTTGTGAGCTCTACATCATCTGAGGTAGCTCTGTCAGACTATGCTGAAAAAAATGCTGTGATCCTTTGAGTCAGTGTCATTGTTTATGACCTTCTGATGCTACAGCCTTTAGGAATTGCTGCAAAAAGCTGAAAGTAACTACAGGAGCTTTCCCATGGGATGAAGAACCAAAAGGATGGATGTTTCCAGTAGGCATGATTGTCATGTGTGGTTTTTGTTTGTTTGTTTTTTCAGGATAATAAAATACTAAAGTTTGGCAGTTTACAACGAGGGCATCTCAGTTATCCTCATTCTGCCTTCATATGGAAGTAAAGGTATTAAGGATAATAAGTTTTTGTTGAAAAGGATCTTCTGGATTCAAAGACAATGAAATGATGCATTTTTGAGCCATTACTAGCATGTTCTTCTGTCTCTTAAGGACAAATTTATTTAAATTTCAGCCTTCAGTAGGTCCAGCTAAAGAAGATTTGACTAAACTTATTATTGCGTAGTAATCTTCTACAGGCTTTCTTGTTAAGTGTGTGAGAGAGGATGCTCTAGGCTGTGGTTTCAAAAAGATACATCAGGGTAGCTGCATTAAATTTCCATTCTGAATTGATCCTCAGAGGAACCTATTCTGCTCTGCAAGATGAACACAGATTCTCTAAGCTCAATTTGATCTTTTAAAAATATGGGCCAAATCTCCTGCCTTGGGGATCACTCAGTTAGATCTAGATTCTGCATGTGATTTGCTCTTGTTTTTTAGTATGACCAATTTAAAAAAAAATGCAAAAGAGGCTTTTAGAATAATAGAAAAAAAGATGTATATCTTTTTACGTCCTTACTTGATTTTTCAAGGAGGCTTGTTTTGGAATTAAAGTAGAAAAATGGGTCTTGCATGTTATGCAGGAAGAACAACTGCAGATCTAAACTTCTTTCATCTGTTCCCCAAACCACTTTGGAGGAGCTTGCAAAGGAATGTCCTGTAAGCAGTGTTAAGTGCACGTGAATGTGCATGTGTGTGTGTGAGGGATCCAACATTTGATTAGGATTTGAAAGACATTAATAAAGAAGATGCTTGTGTATTGGTGTGAGACATGCAACCTTCATCTCTAATGGAAGTACTATGAGAATTTTTGTTACTTTGTTCTTTTCAAAGAAGGTGCAGGTTGTTCCTTTGCCCTTTCAATATACAATAATTGAAAGTCTCTCTCAGCATGTTAAGAATCAAAAAAAGTTCTCCTGATTGTTGCCATTAAGCAGGGAATTGCCGATTGTATTTTTCGTAGATTTATTAAACTGAAGTATGGTTGATGGAGTGGAAAATTTCTGACACTACTCTTAGAGAGGAATCAGCTGTCCAAGTTTTTCACTCTTGAATTGTTAACCTCCAACACAAGTCAAGCAGGACTATTGTTAACTCTTAAAAAAAATTCTTTTAAACTTCTCTGAAATATCTGTGAGTTGGTATAGAATATGATCCAGTAACACTAGTTACATTAGAGAATCTAAAATATTCTGATGCTTTTCACAGTTTTTGACCTTTTGGCTTAAACCAAAGTAGGAATTAGATAACATCTCTTGGTGGTTACCTATTAAAACAGTTTTAATTACATGAATTTTTTTAATCAGTGTCCTTACTCAGTTTAGAAGCCATTTTGATTACCGTCCATTTGTGCATTACTTCAAGGCAAAAAACACTGCCCTGCAGGAATTCAGCTGTTTTATGACCATACTGCAATCACTTAGGGAATTTTAAAACCCTTTCATTTATTTTGTATATGATTACACACTCGTAAATTAAAATTCTTTTTATTTTGGATGTGTAGATTAAATTTGCATGTCAGTGTCATAAAAACTTCCATGTTAATACAGACAAGCTACCATAATTTAAGAAAATCAACATTTTTGCAGAGTTGGTAGTCCACAATGCTAATCTCTGTCTCTGAATATATCCTCTGCATGAGAATATGAGCTTCTACAACAATGCTAGATTTTATATATATATATATATATATACACACACACACACATATATATATACAGCCTACTTTTCTGGTTAAATGAAAAATCACTGAGCCAGTTTCCACCTTATAAAGACTTTTAGGAAATGTGCACATGGCAGCTAAATGATTTAATATTAAAGACAAAAAATAAAATAACTACTTGTCATGTCACATGGGCACTCTTTTGGAAACGATAATGTCCTGTGAATACCCTCTCTCTTGTTGTGTATTAACCAAATTTGTTTTGATGAACTCTACATGTGTCTTCCTCCTTCCTCTCTCAAACTTGATTAAAAGCTTTTCAAAGATCCTGATGGGCACTTAGGTAAATGCTTTCAAATGGTAGAAATTAATTTAGTGCTTGAGTTTCAAAAAATTGCTTAGCAGTTGAGCTGTCACTTCTGCCATTAACTCAAACACTGAAATGAAATATTCAGCTGCTAGGTCAAGCATGTGGATGTCTCCCAACAAAAAGGGAAGAAATGTGCAGTGTTTTGAGTTGCCTTTAAATGTTTTGAACTATGTGATATTTTAGGGGTTTTAGTGTGTTTCTTGTTTGACATATTTCAGTAATCACAGTATTAATAGTCATATGGTAAGCATCTAGCTAGTTAAAAATTTTAAGTTTAATTTTTCATTTTTGCTTTATACAGCTCCAGGTGTAGACACCTGTTCTCACTTTACACAAATATTTGTTATATTATTTGTGGACCAGATTCCACTAAGCATTTTAGTGAAGATTAGTGAGATTGTTTATTTTCACAGAACAAATAAGCTGTTACTCCTCTATAAAATATGTTGCTTTTTGCTAGCCCTATATGGTTTATTAACCATGATTATAACAGTTATATTGTTAAGTGGCAGTTTCTTCTCTCCATAAAAATGCATAAGAATATAAATTACATGTGTAATTTCTGTGTTTTGTTTTAGTAGTCTTTCGCAATGCAAAATTATTTTTGTTACTGCTGGAGCTGGCTACTCTGTGTCTAGCTGTTCTAGCAAAGCTTCTTTTCCCATTTACCTTGCCGATCAGGAGAGTATTACCAAAACCCAACCTCTTAAAAACTTCTTCTGGACTCATTTCTGTAAAAGTGTTGGACAACTAATCCAGAAAAAAAGGATCATGCTTTAATTGTCAGTATGGTAGCTTAAAATGGTTGGGAGAAGTGTTAACTATCTTTTTGGTATCCTTTTCTTCATTATTTTTTTAACAAGCATCAGACTGTGGGTGGAGGTTCTGTTATGTTCCTCCTCATGCATGAAAGAGCTTGTACTGCAGCTTCCTGTGGTCGCTTTCCTGTCAGCAAAGCTAGTTCAAGAGTTTTCCAGCTTTCGTCATTGCTACCTCCACCACAGAGTGTTACACCTTCCTTCTGCTGCTACAACTGTTTGTGCAGCTATCTGCTAAAATAGTGCGGTGGAATTACTCAATCCAAAAAGAGCAAAACCACCTGTGGGCGCAGGGAGTGATGTGCCGGAATAGGTGATGAGGGACTAAAGCTTCAGTGCTTTGAAACTGAACTGCTGCCAAGGAAATGGTAACGTGCAGTCTGAAAAGAGGAAAGTCCCACGGGGAGCTCCATTTGTTACTCTCTAAATACACTTCCTTGCTTTGCATTAAGTATGCAAAGTGTGTTATGTCGCTGTTCTTTAAATCTTGTTTATCATTACAACAGCAGCTGTTTTGGGATAGTATTTACTTATAAAAAATGGCCATTCTTACTATCTTAAGTTCTTCATATGGCTTATTTCATTATGAGCTTCCTCCATGCAGTATGTGTAAAGACTTCCTTGTGTCCTTTGTTTAAATCTGTAAAGGTGGTAGCCTTCTCAGCTGCAGTAGCCTCAAACTTGCAGAACTGAGGAGTTTTTGCTAATGACTTGTCCTTGACAGATCTCAATAACTCCCTGGCTAACATCCTGTTAAGGTGGGAGGTAAGATTTCCTACACAGTGACCAGTGTCAGCATCAGACTGCTCTGTGTGGTACCTGCAGACTCAGAGTGCCATGGCAAGACCTGTGGTCGTCGTCATACAATACATAATTTCCCAAAGGAAATTATTGTGTAATTTTAGGTGAATAATTTTAATTTATGATAGCATAGGTGGCTTTGTATTGTTCTTTGAAACAACCCTTAAAACTTAATTTACTTTTGTAAGCATAATGTCTAGGTGGTGTCAGCTTTTTGTTGTGTGAGACTTGTTTGGGATTTTGGGTTGATTTTTTTTCTTCTTTCTTGTCTAAATACACAAATATTGTAAAAGTTTGTAATTTAATTATAGTTAATTTTTATTTCATATCAAAACCATGTAACAAATCCTGAAGTAATCCTTGGAGGTTATGAAGATAGTATAGGATTCTTTTTCTATTTACACTGAATATATTCTCAGTAAAGCTATTAAAATTTAATTTAAGGTAAGCATGGTGTTAGGAATGCAAAAGCACAATGCATGCTTTGAATTGTTCCTCCATAAAAATATGAATAAACATGCAGGATTTCAAATAGCTTTAGTTTCTCACATTTTGTTAGGTAATGCAGTTCCACATTCTGTTCTTTGCCTCTAATGTTTTCATGCATTTCTACTTTTTGCAGTTTTGGCAGAATTAATTGACAAGTTTGTGAAACATCTTTCTGAAAGTCGATCAGATTGTTATTTCAGTGCCGGAGACTATAAAGGTCAGTTTCCTGATAATTTATTGCCATGCAGCCTCTTTGTATTTAAATGACTTTTCTTTTAAATGTATCTGTAGTGTTTTGTGGGGTTTTAAAATATATTCTTTAACAGTTCAGAAATTCATTACTGAACTGGTGGGAAGTACCTCACTTTGGAGTAAAAGATAGTGTGCCTGCGTAAGCAGTACAAATAATTGTTAGTGATGGGCTTTCACATTTCTGTATGTGTAATGGAAAGATGGAGATGCAGAACAGGTGAGAGTATGATTCAAAGTATTTGTTGACACCTATTATAGAATTATTTGCAGAACTGGTGGCATAAACATTTAAGATGGTGCAAGCAATCTGGCTCACCTTTTGAAAGCCCCATAATGTATAATCAACCCAAAGGTATGCAATTTATATTGCATTAAAGTATATGTATTAAAGAACTGCTATTGTTGGCAGAGTAATCTGAATTAGTTTTGTGCAGATGTCATATTTACAGCCAAGAATAAATGATTAATGATAGAGTTAATTCTGTGTGTAAAGTAGTACATTTTAATATTTTGAAGCTCTTGCAAAATGAGAAGATTTAGAAGCACTGTTGATACCTGCTGGAAAATACACTTTCATTCTTCCTTATCTGTCTAGGATTTTTTTCTTAGGTTGTAGTTCAATCATTTAGAGTACTTATTCTGCCACTAACTGGAGAACCAAGCCTGCTTTAGGGTGTGCTTGTTACTTATATTGATATTTTGTTCTCATCCTTAGGATACAAATGTAGTGTCCTTGGAGACTTCAGACTTGCCTTTGAAATTTCAAAGCATAAAAGCCTCCTAGTAATTTAAAGTAGTTTATGTAGTGGCCTTTACTTTCTGAAAGCTTGCTAACAGAACAATCTTAATTTTATTTGAGAATCTCTCTTCATTTAATGAAGTTGCTGAAATGACTGTTCTTTCTATCACTATTTTATTTTTCCTTAAAAGATCCTTAAATAATTTTCTAGTGTCCTGCATGAGTCTTGTCATTTACTTTTCAGCTTCTCCAGAAGCATAGTGAGCAACAAAATTATTTTAATGGACTCATAAGACCTGCTATTTGCATATTTCTGATACTGAACAATTCTCATGAGGTTTTTGATGGTTCCTTTAGAAGCCCACATGTTGTTTTCATGGTATGAATGACACTTAGACTGCCTCTCTTGCTCTTCTCTGTACGTATCTCTTTTTAGGTCACAGTTCTAAGTATCATCCAGTACCTGAAGGTGGCCTACAGGAGCTGAGGAGGAGCTGTTTACCAGGGTGTGTAGCGACAGGGCAAGGGGCAATAGTTTTAATCTAGAGCAGGGTAGATTTAGATTAGATGTTAGGAAGAAGTTCTTGACTGTGAGGGTGGTGAAACACCAGAACAGGTTGCCCAGAGAGGTGGTGGAGGCCCCATCCCTGGATACATTCAAGGTCAGACTTGATGGAGCTCTGAGCAACCTGATCCAGTTGCAGGTGTCCCTGCTCACTGCAGGGGGGTTGGGCTAGATAATCTTTAAAGGTCCCTTCGAGCCCAACGCACTCTATGATTCTGTGATTCTATGATCATTCATTCCTCAGTGATATGGAAGGCCTGAGTATAGTTTTCTTTTCTCTCTTGGGGAAGAACAGTATAGCCCACAGACCTGAATTTTCAAGGCTATCTTAGAGTTTCCTGTTAGAAAACCAGAAAACCTGTTTGGTTTGAATAAGGCAAAAAGTAATTAAAGGAGAAAAAGACATCTGATTCTGCAGCCTCCAAGTTGGGTGTCTTGCCCAGCAAAGACAGCATCCTGCTGTTTCTTAATTATGACAGCTAAGTGCTTCTGTGTGGAAGGACTCTAATGAAGGGAAGCAGAAGTCTGTACCGTGTTTACTAAGATATTGAGTACCTTAGCTTCAGTCCACTGTTCTTGACTTTTTGTCAGAACAATGATTTCAAACACATACAGGAAGATTGAACCTGGGTCTTCTACTTAACTGATGTGTGATTTCACCATGAAACATGGTGGAGGTGGCAAAAATACTGCATTATTTACCTAAAATTTAATGCCAACTCTGAGGAAACACCAGCTTTGAAAATCCTGTGACAATTGCATACATTAATTTTTTAGAATAAAAAATCCCAAAGAACAGGTACAGAAACAAAAGAGATAATAGAGTAAAAGCCTCAATTCTTGATTTTCTTGAGCTTGACAGATTTTCTTTCCATGATAAAGCAACCCAATCGGTCTGTCACTCATTTTTGTATTTTCTGAATATATTTTTCATTCAGTCTGATGCAGGCATAGTTGGACATTAATTCTGGATAAGTTTGCCTGTTCAGTTCTCAAATAAATGCTCCAGAATTGAAAGGGTTGGCCGGTGAACAATTTTCATTTGCAAATGCTCTTGATGTTCGATGTGCTTTAGTGAACGTGAGCTTGGAAATGGGAGAGTGAGAAGCCGTCTCAAGGATAGTCAGTAGTCTGGAGGTAAGAAGTTGATGTGAAATGTAAGCAAAGGGCTGGTGTTGTCTTAACATTTTCTTTCCGTGTCAGCAACACCACTATCACAGACACATTTTGTTAAAAGTTCTTCTAGTCCAGGCAAGTCTCTTGTTCAAGCAAATACCATATGTCTCATCAAGGATTTCCTTTAAGTTTTATAGGAGAATACTTAATAAAATTTCATAGCATGTTTTTCAGATAGGTTAGAGCAATAAATTCATACTGATTGAGATGGGAGCGAAATTAAAATCTGGCTGTAAAATTGAATCTATGATATTACTCCACTCTAGAACAGTCAAAGGGCTTGATTGTAAGAATCAGTTGTATAACTAAATTTACACTCATTTCAGGCTCTTTTTTACATCATAAAACATACAGTTTGGCTTTCCTATGAAGACAGGGAACATGCTTTGAGAAGCCAAGTATGTATTACACTTCCTGTGTTTATAAAGCAGATACAAACAAAACACGCTCAAATCTTTATATTTACTTAGAATTAAGTTTCTCACTGATTAAATAATGATTATACAGATCTGTATACATTTCCCAGGGTTTTCTGCTAATGTGTATGAAGGGTTGGAATTTCTCTGAGGAGAGCAGTTAATTTTTGAATGTCATCTTATTTCACAGTATCTTTTCCATGTACATATGTGTAAGTGCTATCTAAGATCAATGCTAAAACTGCTGTTACAGTGGAGATATTTTTCTGAAGTAAAGCTAATCAGTTCTTAGAAGGTAAACTATATTCCAGATGCATCTTCATAGCTGCACATCTGAATAAGCCAAACATGCACTTGGCAACTGCTTGTGTCCACCCTTCTCTTGAATAAATTTGATTGTGAGGAATTGAAAAACAATTTCTAATAGTTGTTTAATTTTAATGAAGAGAACCCACAATTTTCATGAAAGTGGATTCGGTACAATGCATAGATATTCAGTGTTTAACATGTTTCTTGAAATAAGAAATTGATTATCTTAAAAAATTACAGTTTTCTAAATTGTAGGTAGTTGTAGTTAGGATAACAGAGTCATCCATCTGCTGTGGAATCCCTCAGGATTTCAGTCTATTATAAAATTTGCAAATATGGAAAAATCAAATTAGTTTGGGTTGTTATCATTTTCAAGATAAGAGAGAAGGGAAAATATCTGATAAACCTCTATGCAGTTGCAGTGTTTAATTATAAACAGTAAAACAAATCTTACTTGAAGTTTACTTTTTGCTTGCAGCAATGATACTGCTGTGTTGTGGATTCAGATGAATAAAATAGCATACAAATATGTATGTTAAATGTTAATGAACTCAATTGCCTTTCCTAGAATTAATACTCTAGTTTGCTTTTGTTTTTCTTTCTTCTTAAAAAAACAAATTCAAAACCACACTTTGAAAATGAAATTATTGATGTCTAGCTGTAATAGGAAACTGCAACTTAGTAGTAAAATAGGCATTTTGTATTAGGGATATGAAGTTCCTAAAATAGCCACTTGCTCCTTCAGTTAGCAGATACCAATTCCTTGCAACATAAATACTTTGTGGAAATGTATTTTCTTGAGGTTCCAACAAACTCATTTCTCAAAGAATTTCACTTTCAGAGTTGTCTAATATGTTGGTGTCTGGACACCTTACTTGATCTCTACCATGTGTTGCGGACTGCCCAAACTTGGACCTTTCAGGATCATCAGGGTTTTTGGTAGCTCCATTTGTGCCTGTGACCTTGCAACCGAGTTCTCCATTTCCACTGGATTTTGTCTCTGAAAGGGCTCTGCCATGCACTACCAATGGGACTCAAATGTCACGCTGTGTTCCTTCTCTAGATGAGGCTCAGTTCTCTGGCTGAGCAAAATCTTATCGGAACTTTCTGCCATTTAATGAGCTCTTAATCTCCGCAGGTGGATTGGGTAATGAACTGAGAAATTTTAAAAACACCAGTAGGAATCTATCAGTATAGAGATGATCAGGAGTTGCAAATGAGTAACAGAGGACTTACAACCCCAAACTGGACTGAAAGGGAAGGAGAAGGAGGGACATTCTTCCCTTCTTTCTGCATCATTTGATGAGCTTTAAAGATGGGGTTCCACTTTAAAGATGCTGTTAGGAAAAAGCATTTTGCTCTTTGCCAGTTTATATGTAGCTGAGCTGAACACATGGTCCATTCTTGATGATGATGCTGCCAAAAATAGCTTGAGTATTTGTGATGACCAATACATAATCAAGAAGTTCTAGATATTAATATTTTGATCTTGTATTGTTATGACAAGCATACTGATGACATAACAGATACTGTCAATAGTCAAAGTGCCGTTGCACATGAGATTACCCAGCTCTGATGAGAAGCCAGCAATGGCAATTTTTCTTGGATCTTGTTTATATTTTCTGCATATACTGTTTACATTCAACAATAATAATACTTTACTTTGAAATGGGATTTTTTTTTTAAATTGGGAAACAAGGAGTGGATTTTTTTGCACTTTATGTCAATGACCAGCTGGAGTGCACAGAGTTCCATCTGGG